GATTTGCGGTGCAGTATTGCTGATGTACCGATTTCCCAATCACTATCCAGTCGTTTCGATAGGGAATTCTGGTTTTATTGTCTAATCTGCTGAGGATGTTGAGTATATAGTTTCTTGTATATTCGCTTTCAAAACATTTGGTCTGACTTGGGTTGACACTTCGATCTCGTCAACGATCGAGAAATTAAAGACCAGAAATGCATGTTTACTTTTACCCAGAGGCGGCATATAATGGAGGTTTGTAACGTCATCTCCATAGTCAGTCAATATGAGACCCAGTAAAGGTTATTCGAAGTCCGGTTCGTACCGGTTTGTTTCCTTAACATGTCGCACTGGGGAAAATATAATCACCATATCAACTAGTTTCTGTTCGGTAGAGCTTATTGACAATCTACCGTAGGTACGTTGAAGTCTCTTAAGGTTAAACAACGACTACCAGAAGACTAAGTATTGAAGTCGCCTAGCAATACCCCATTCATCTTACAGCTTGGTTTGTGGCAAACCAAATCGGTCAGTAGTTCTTTTTCTTTGCATTTCAAATGACAACTAAATAATTCTTATGTCACACTTTAACGGGGTATGTTATCATTAAAAATAAACAGGACAGTATGTCCAATAAATAAGGCTACTCTTTCTCCTTTAGGCCTTCGGATTCCGTCGGCCCTTACTAACGTGAATACTTCAAAATCAAGTTCTCTACTGTTTACATAATGCATCAGCCAAGTTTCTGTAGCCGCGATTACATCCGGCTTAGTGCAGTCAATCTGTACGTCTAGCTCCGATCGCTTGTTGAACAAACTCCGGTAGTTTATCTAACAGACAGAAAGCCCATTTCATTGGCTTTGTGTTGCACACAGAGTGGCTTCAGCATCATTCTCTGTCAAAGCCTCAACACCAGAGAAGTTATAGTTCTCGGCCCTATCTATGTTTTGGATATTTTTCAGCATCTCGTCATTTTATAAGGTCCATGAGCGGCAAGTCTTCAGAGACAAAAACTCCTGACCCCTTAAGTTCATGTCCATTCTGTAGTATTAAGTATCTTTTATAGTGACATTTAAATACTACTTTCATCGGTCTGTGATAATTTTATCTCAAGTTTATTTGCCTACGTTGTCTATAAACCTTTAGCAAGGTGACTCTAGTGATATTCTGAAACGAATCGAGCTAAGAAATCTATTGTAAATTAATTTTGGCGAATTAAGACAATCTATCTTTATTGGACGTTCGTAATGTGGGGTGGTTGTAGAAGATAGCACCTAGTGTAGCTGCATTAAATGTTAACAAAAGGATAATCTCTCGAAATAACGTGATGTTCCATAAAATACCTGACAAAATCGCCGTTTAATTTGCAAGGAATTAGATATTAAAAACAGTCAACCTCCAAGATAGTCCATGCCAATCTATTCGTCTTTATAAAGAGCACCAGGAATCCTCGTACCCGGTCTTGTTTAGATTCGACTCCCAATCATTAGCTGAACAGTTGAAAGAATCCGAACGGCTAATCTGAGCTCTTAGGAATGCTTGTATAGTCTCAGATAAGACCACCTATAAAAGACACGCAAAAGCATGTCTTAAACGAAAATGACGCTGTTGAGGTTACAACAAATCCCGTTGCCTCAGCAGCTGGATCCACTGATGCAGCTAACCTATCTCATGCTAAACGGTACACTGGTTTACCAAAGAAGAGTGATAGCTTGCCTCTTATGTCTTCAGTGACCTCAGACAACCAATTCATATTTGATGGAGATACCAATCCGATATCTTCCAGTGTAACATTGGGAGTCTATTACCAAATACATAGTTCCAATGTGAAGGCTCTTAAAAACACTATCAATATTAAAAAGTCTATACCACGTAAGAGGAAAATATATACAAAACCTTCAGGTTCATAACCTAATACCTTAAATATTACGATGGACCTGCCGAACGAAAGTATACTTACTTGAAAATAAAACGAATCTGAGAATTTATTCAAGTGTAACATAAGATAACTTGTTATTAGTTATAAACTTTGGATCTTTAGGAATAAAACATGTTTAGAAGTAACGGAAGAGATCAAAGGATTTTCACGGACTATGGTTTAATATGTTTGACTGATCATATGGGATGTGGCCTGAACAAACTGTAGTGCTAGTGATATCAGAGATTTATGAAGGCCAAAACAATGATTATTTCGATAAGGTGGATTTATTTCCTGAACACGACTTTGTGGACAGTTAAGAAAGGCATCTGCTTGTTGGGGTTGTGTCGATGATGCGCAACCTAGTCGTCCATTTTTTCTATTGGGAAAGTGATGAGAAAAGTTAAATCTTACAGGGGTATTATTATTTAAAACTTTTGAAGGTAACTGTGGGACACGTTGGTTCTCTATGGCCTGACTAATATTAGGCTTGGTTACACGACGGTTGTAGTGGCAACGGGATTTGTTGTAACTTCAACAGCGTCATTTTCGTTTAAGACATGCTTTTGCGTGTCTTTTATAGGTGGTCTTATCTGAGACTATACAAGCATTCCTAAGAGCTCAGATTAGCCGTTCGGATTCTTTCAACTGTTCAGCTAATGATTGGGAGTCGAATCTAAACAAGACCGGGTACGAGGATTCCTGGTGCTCTTTATAAAGACGAATAGATTGGCATGGACTATCTTGGAGGTTGACTGTTTTTAATATCTAATTCCTTGCAAATTAAACGGCGATTTTGTCAGGTATTTTATGGAACATCACGTTATTTCGAGAGATTATTCAACTATTGACTTCGCTGGCAATAAAATAGATAACAGATCCTACTTTGACAATGTCTTCAAGTCACACAGGAATTACATCCTTCGACAATAGCAGTTGAAGGAGCGGTAGTGTCTTTAGTTCTTGTTTAATACCATCACGCTTTGATAGAGAACCCGCAAGTGACTCCACTTTAGGACGTATATAGCCTAGTTGCTTATAGATAATGTCTAATCCTCTCTTAATATTATCAATACTTTTTAATATTGAGGCAGAACTCATTATTAAATTAGAAACTAAGTCATTCAGCAGTAGGTGTCTTGTACGTCTATTCCCAACATTATCTGATTAATTAAGGAGTTACAGAGCATGGGGTATATGTAATAACAGTATTGCTATTGTCTGAAGAATTAGGGCTTCTCCGGGCTCGTTTTTTGACAGTCGACACATTTTGCTACTATTGTTGATTTTAATGCCATCTATGAGTTACACAATAGGATCCAACAATATTTAAACACTTTACATTAGATAACGTGTTATCGCAACGCAAAGTTCAAACGTAACGCAATCAGGGCATAGCTGATATATTCATTGTTCGACAACGCTTTCACCCGAAACACGATAATAAAAAGATCACAAAACCAGTTAAACCAGAAGTCAGGAATGGAGTTTGAAGACACATACAGATGACTTCTACTATAAATAGACAGCGAATTGTATTAGTCTCACTTTGCTATTACTGATTTCTGTTTCGTGAGGTATCTCCTATAAACAGAAAACCGAGTGAGTCATTAACTCTCTGTTACAAATGTTTGGTTAACCGCTAAAAATCATGACAGTATTTTTATATGAAACCGAAATTATTAGACTTACTTGAACGGAATTAATAACAATAAACAATCTACCGTTTAGTTTTATAACGCCCTAAAATAAATATGCAATTCAGGTGACCAAAAATCGACGCCGTTCGTTTTGCGAAATTAACCAGCTGAAGAAAGATGATTATTATACTCAACTGTGCATGTCTATTGGGAAACCCTATGTACACGAACACGTTACCTCACCAAAAATGCTAACCGTCATCATACTATCGCCTTCGTATTCCCCAGGATAGGCAGCACATGAAAATTGGAGGATGAATTTATATGAGACTTTTAGTGGATTCATTAGACGATTCAAGCAACACTTGGATCTATTTCTGATTGCATCGAATATCCATTTCTTTTGTTCATAAACTGTTACTTTCAAAGTTCTGTGGCGGACTAAATATACAAGTTTCAAAGTAAAGATAGATTTATTACCAGAAAAACTTCGATTATAGCTCTTCTGAGGTTACTGCTGGTCCTAAGTCCGGGAAGAGAAAGAAGGCTGGGCTTGGGGTTATCAACCCTATCCCTTAAAAAGCAACCTTAGTGAAAAAATGTCAACCAGAATAAACAAACTAAATCATTTAAACTCTGCTCTGGGAGTCGAAGAATTTTCGGTTTTTAGTATGCCGAAATATAGATTATACAGAGGAACAATACAAGAAATCACTCAAATTCCCAGAAAAAGGCGTGCTCGAGTTCTTTTCCGGTCTTATAATCCACAGTTATCAGTGATCAGTGATTCCAAATATGAGTGATATAAAACAAAAAGTGTATTCAGATTAATAGCGAATTGAGAATATCATTTTGATCTACAAACCCAGACATCAGTTTTATCGGATTTCCGTTATCGTGATAGCTGACATATAAAAACAAGAAGTAAATATGCTCAGCAGTGTATTTTTGAGCGATAATCTATATGTCATGGTATGGGAGTACAAAAGGTAACGGAAGATGGAGATTAGGTTTTTTAAAACAGCGATTTTACATTCAGTAATGAAAATTTTACAAATTAGGCGAAATTAAGGAAAAATGCAAATAATGGTAGAAAATAATTGCAAAATATGTTTATGTTAACCATCCCCACGGTTCTTAAAACATTAACTGCACACCCATTTCTTACGAAATAAAAATATTCAAAATAAAACAGTATTCCGAAACTCAAAATGAGAAAAAATGCAAGTTGAGATCCTTTCTTTACGAGTAACTGCATAGGTAAAGAGTATTCAGTCCTAAAGACACTTGATAAATTGCGATATAGAACATTGAGTAGTGATCCTAAAAATCGTAGAACGACAATCCGAGAATGCTGGAAAAGCTTATAAAATCGACGTCAAATGCTTAAACGATAATTAAGCATCCTTTCTTTTCTGACCTCTTACTCTTCTCTTGACTTACATGGAAATAGATGGTGTTGTAAATAAGCGGGTTCTTTGATTTGGATATTCTCTTCTCACATGGCATGTAGTTTGATTTTTACTGATGCTCTCTGATAATTTGACTCTGAGATATGCAGCTGTCATAATAAAGTGAACTTATTTCCTCACAATGGATATACCAATGTCTATTGTCATTGAAAAGACTCCGTTCGGATTGGGGTTTACATTAAAAGACGAAGGCAAGTTTGATGGACTTTTATTTTTGGTAAATTGAGGATGCGAAACAGTAAAGCTTGAATAAAATGTCCTCACGACTCGAATCATAAATCGGTCGTCCTCTGTATTTCATTAGCGTGTGGATTTCACACCTCGCTAAGTAGGTTCTTTCAAGAGTCCTTAGCAAGCTATAGCGTGAGGTCTGACGAGTAAATTCATTTTTTTTATTATATTATTCGGCCAGCGTTTTTGTGCTTTGGTTTAGCAAAATGATTTTTGATCGAGTTGTCGAAACTGAATGTTGAGTAAATATCTGTTCAAGCAATCTTCGGTTAGGTTTTCTCCCTATTATATTAAATTGGTCACTGACATTAAATTTACTGTTTACTAGATTTCATTTCACACTAGCCGACCGGTTTCCATCAGAAGGGTCTATTAAACTCTTCAAATTGTAATTCCGTTCCCTCAGCGACGGTTGTTATATTCTTTAGCTTCCTAATTGCTAACTATACTATATTATTTAATGAAAGAATGAATATATCATTCGGAATCACTATTTCTCTTTGTTAAGCTATCGGGTCAAAAATTCAAGTTAAGGTATATTTCACGTTTGAATTTCTGATCAAATATTACCTCAGTTAGTAGTTCAGAATCACCGCTTTCACTTCATCTGTGATGATTCGTGTTCTTTACCCCAACTGATGTAAATGGAACGGGTTTTGAACACTCAGTTGCCAAAAGGCGAGTGGTCAAATCATTTTACCAAAGCCAACATATGTTTCTCTTTGTACCCATTCCACAAGGCTAACGATATAAATACAATTTGTTTAAACGTTCGTAAAAGGTCTTTTTCATGTTCAGGTTACTAAGTTCCAAAAGAAGTACATGTAACTGATCAAATTAACTGATGGGCAAACTTGTAATGATCTGCTTACAGTTGTGACAACCACCGTGACCAACAATTCAATGTGTGTCGGTTTATTTCGAAACCTGAAAATCTCATCTCCATATGATGCAAACAATAATGCTCAAAGAAAACTCGTGTTCACATCTATACAATGATTGTGAGCAGTAGTTAGGAACAAAAGCAAATCATATTGTCGTTGAAAGCGTTTGAATTCTAAACAAAACATTCTTCAAGTATTGCTAAATTTACATTGTACTAACCTTTAATGACAGACAAGTAAACTTTTATTGCTTAGTACGTTATTTATTTTCAAGCAGCATTTCCACGAAATTGTGTTAATGCGTTCCAAATATCACAATTACCTGAGAATATTAATTAAGGTATTTGAATTCTTATTTATTCATTGTGGTAAATACAGGCTACTTAACTAGGATTCTCACTATAATCACCAGAGGTTGTAGCGGCTAAGTATAATAGCTCAGAATGTGACTATGGCGCTGATGCATTGATTCCTTATTTTTCTCTAGATCTCGAGTTTCACTGTTCCTTTTCATTGAGTCTCAGTGTTAAGTCTTAATGTCAGTGATACTACAACTATCTAGGTCTCGTCGCCACTCATTACTCTGATTTCATCTCGTCATTCTGATGTATACAGACTTGGGTCAATGAGCATTTGTGCCAGGCCGTTTATTTTAGGAAGTACCATGGACAATCTTTGTCTAAATTGAAAAAAATCTCTTTGATGTTATCCATTGTTGCGTTCTCTACTAGGAAACCCTCTGATTATAAAATCATCGAAAAATCTGCGCTATAACGTGAAATAATTTCAGCGCTATTGTTAGAATTTTCTAAGTGTTAAACAATAGTTTGAATCTTTCGAACACAAATGTTTCGTAATTTGTGCCCATTTGCATCTTGAAAGTTAACGGAATTAATGTTTCAGTATTCACTCCAACTGTTAATGAATTCATGGACTGATGCCACGTCTTGATTAGGGGACACCTAGCTTTCTTACAGCATACTTCTCTACGTAACATCACATGAGTTAGGTGGATGGGCTCACACAGTACATGTCCCAACCACTTCAACCGACGAAGGTTTAATTTCTCACTAACCGATTTGTCACATTTATTTATGATTTTATTTATTTGAACACATAAATATTGGTACAGGGGTCACCAAATATATATGCGCCACACAAAACAATGATAATTTGAAGAGAAAAAATGATAATAAACGTGGGGAATTATAAAAAAAAAGAGAGCGAGCGAGAGAGAACAATGGTGGGGAAATCGGAAAGGTACAATCAGAAGAAATCTTTCAGTTAAGGAAGATACAACCACTTTTTATGAAGAAAGTAAAAGAAGGTTACAGCAGGATCGCCACTGGCTTCTATTCTGAGCCATATCTGATAACGTCTCTAGCCACTGTGTTACATCGTCTCTCGGACCCCAACCAGGGAGTCGTGAAGGACCAACAGAAGCTAGCCCTTTGCAGCTTTCTTTCATACCACGACACCATGTCATATACTGACCGCCTCTCCGCTTTTTCCAACCAGTCCCAGAGTCGGCAAATAATGCACGACGAGGAATTCTCTGGAACGACATTCGTAGAACATGTCCAAGCCACCGAAGTCAGTGTTTCAAGATGGTGACACCAATTGCACTATCGTCTCTGTGACCAAACACACGATGCCGAACCTCTGCATTACTGACATGGTGTTGCCACTGGATGCCAGCAATCCTTCGGAGACAACGATGATCAAACACAGAGAGTCGTCTAACATCCTCAACTCGGAGAGGCCAGGTTTCACAAGCATAGATCAAAACTGCTCTCACCGACGCGTTGTAGATCCGACCTTTTACAGCCAGACTAACATCACGAAGGCGCCAAAGATGGGCCAGATTGGCATAAGCCGCTCTGGCTTTCACTATACGTGCATTGATCTCATCACTCACACCACCACCAGCACTTATGCAGCTACCTAGATACACGAACTTCTCGACCACTTCTATCTGCTCACCGTCCAGAGTGAGTACAGGATTAGAATCCTGCCAGTCTTGTATAAGTACTTTGCACTTCGAGGGTGCAAAGCACATAACATACCTACGGACACTGATTGCCAACTGATTAAGTGAGGATTGCATAGCTTGGGCATTCTCGCACAGTAAGACAATATCATCCGCATACTCAAGGTCGACAAGTCTTTCTCCAGGCAACAGATCCACACCACCATTACTTGCATCCATCAGAGCCGTTTCCAGAATGTCATCGATGGCAAAGTTGAAGAGGAATAGTGAGATTGGGCAACCCTGCCTAACTCCACTGCTCGAATGGAATAATGGAGAAAGGTGGTTGTATGCCCTCACTCTGTCTGAGGTGTTTGTGTATAGGGCTTTTAGGATGTTAATAAACTTCTCAGGCACACCCTTCTTCAATAGACAATCCCAGAGAACAGTTCTGTCCAACGAATCGAAGGCAGCCCTGATATCAAGAAACACTACAATTGTTGGCCTTTGATAAGTATGGCGGTGTTCTAACACTTGGCGGAGGGTGAAGATATGATCAATACATCCTCGACCAGAACGAAACCCAGCCTGCTCCTCGCGAGTCAATCCTTCTCGTGTTCTGAACAACCTACGAAGTATAACGGAAGCCAATAGCTTGGACGCAATCGGAAGTAGACTTATCCCCCGATAGTTGTTATAGGAACGACGTGAACACTTTTTAAAATAGGGACAACTTTCAACTCATTCCATGACGTTGGTACGCTCTCTAGTTCCCAGACCTTTGTAAACAACGTCGTCAGTCCCTTAGTCAGAAAGTCACCACCATCTTTAAAAGGAGCCGGAGGTAAGTCGTCTGGGCCCGGTGATTTGTAACGTTTCAAGAGTTGGGGTTCCTTGCGGACTTCCGCCTCATTTAGTGGATCAGTCGTCACCGGCCATGGAGGGCAGGACAGTCTGACCGATGTTGCCGGAGCAGCAGGCCAGTTGAACTGCCCTTCAAAGAATTCTGCCCATCGTCCAAGACGTCGATGGATGTTAGTGATTGGCGTTCCGTCATCCTCGCAGATTGTTTCGCTCACACCAGACTTCTTGCTGCCAGTGGCTCGGATGAGTTGGAAGAGCTTCCGGTAATTACCAGATGCAGCTGCTGCTTCCAGCTCATTAGCACGCTCCGACCACCAGGCTTCTCGGTCCTTACGCAAGCTTTGCCCGATTTCATTACGTAACATCCTTCGTTTGTGGTCAAACTCACGGTCACCCGGAGTAGACCGACGGGCTTCAATCAGTTGTAAGGAACCAGAAGAAACCCAGTGCTTATAAGCGGGACGTTTCGCGAACCCACAACAGACTTGACCCGCCATTTTCATGGCGTCATGCAATTGCAACCAATGCTCATCTATACTTTTCGGTGGAATGGTAGCTAGCCTAGAAGCTAGCTCAGTTCGGTACTTACTAGCAACAGAAGTTGCAACCAGCTTGCTTACATCAATCCTTTGGTGACGGTCACTTCGTTGTCCACTGAAAAGTAAGGTAAGATTGGCGCAGACCAGAGCATGATCAGAGTCCAGATAGGTACTCCAAAAGGAGTGGCAGTCTTGTACAAAATCACGCCAGCGGTAGCTGATCGCGATGTGATCAATCTGTATCCAGGCTTGAGATGTATAAGGGGGATTCCAGGTGGCACATCGGCGATGACTGTGCCGAAAGTTAGTGCTAGCCAGAAACAGGTTGTGGTCTGTGCATAGTTGCAGTAGACGTTCCCCCTTATCTGTCCTGCGAACAACGAGACCCCATCGGCCACCTAAACGACTCTCTTCTGTGCCTAGACGCCCGACCTGAGCATTCAAGTCTCCAGCTAGTACTACAATATCTGTCAAACGCACTTTCTGGAGAAGAACAGTTAACTGGTGGTAGAACTCATCCTTTATTGCATCCGGGCTGCAATCTGTCGGGGCATAGGCGAAGATGACGAAAAGACATCGTTTCTCACGCCTATTTCTTCTCACTTTGATGGAACTTTCTAATCTAACAGCACATAACCGACTGTTAATGGGGATCCAATCGATTAGTGCTGCCTCAGCTCTAGCGCTTAGTGCGACACCAACGCCAGAAAGACCAGACGAAGATGCTTCAGAGTCCCCGGATAAACGCACATAAAACAAGCTTTTTGAAGCGACAGATGGAGAGCGAACTTGTAGTACTTCACCAGAGTCTTGAATACGGGTCTCGGATAGACAACACACGTCAATATTAAGACTTTCCAAAGACATAGCCAGCCCTATCTGTTGTCCGACCTGCATAAGTGTGCGAACGTTGAAGGCAGCCAGTTTGAATGGTGTACGTGGTTTCAGAAAAACTGCTTCAGTACTCATATTCGATGGCAACATACAATTTTCAGCCAGGCAGTGACTCGAGTACGTTTAGATAAAGCTGAATTTTCACCATATGTGAGCTGCTGTCTAGGTCGAAATGGATACATAAAGTACGAATAAGAGAGGGTGAATAAATGACGTGGTAGAGTAATAATAATAATAATAATAGTACGAGTTATTTCAATGTTAATCAGATAGAAAGGAATATTTTCCATAAGCAAATTGTTCATCATCATGGTTTTAGTGCGTGGGTTGAGATACTGCCCGGGTGCCCAAACCGAAGCAGGTGGTTTTCTTAGGGGGCCACACCCCGAGCCTTTGACCTGAACGTCTGATTCACAATTTCATTTGGTGAAGGCGCTGACAAAATATAGTCTTTTCGTCATCTTGAGCAGTAATGTAAGCATATATGGGGTGAGCTTCAGTACTAGTCTGCTTGAACTGAACAAATAATAGTAAGTGAAGTATCTAAGTACTGTGAAAATCACTGCCTTCTTGCGGCGGGGGTGTTGTTTACGAAAATGAGTGAATGTTCGGTGCTTTGACCGGGTTGGTGGACACGGATTGTCCACCTAGGGGAGTTCGAAAACCCTCATCTCAAACCACTGGTGCACATGGGCGTGTGAACTTATTTTTGGTCACTGGCTACCATGGGACTGCATCTGACGTTGCTCCACTGCCTTGTGGATCAGACCTTTAAGTCGAAGGCACCGGGTATAACCCCCTCAGAAAACCATCTGTTTCGGTTTCGGTACCTAGCCGGTATTCCAGCTTTCACAGAAACCGAATGGTTTGTGTGGTGCATATCTATTTAGTGCCCCTTTGTACCAATATGTGTCCAAATAAATAAATAAGTGCGGTGACCACTTCATTTGTCTTGAAAGTCTTATCGGCCCTGGTGGGTTAGCGTCTGATGTAATCTTGGCATGAGTGCGTTAGCTCGGTTGGTACTTACCATTCTGCCATTTGTGTAGTAGATGAGATGTCTGTTTGCCAATCAAAGGATTTATGCCGAGGAACACTACACCTTGTATTATTCTACACTTGTAGAACATGGTCTTTAAATGTAAAATACATGTGTGGGCTAAAGGTTTTTGATCATAAGTGTCCTCGAAACACTACTCGCGCTTCATGGGATGACCAAGCCAGATATGTTGACATTAGACATGTGGCACCAAGGAGAAATGAGGCGTCGGTTGATGGAATTGTTGATTTTCATCGACTGAGGTCGTTTGGACTTTCGTTACGTTTGCCAAACCACTGCCTGCTAAGATGGTCTATGCTAGCTAGTGTAGACGGAGGTTGTGAAAAGACCAGTAGAGGTCAGACCAAGATGTGACGTGGAATCGGCTTTTGAATTCATTGACTTTTGGACCGAACCATGCTGGTAAATGCAGATCGCCTGGTTTCGGTCCGTGTGGTAATTGCGATTTGCGTTTGAGGACTTTAGTTGAAATACCTTATTACCGTTCACAGTGGTGCAAATCCATTCACTTTTTATCTTCCTCTCGATTTTGAATTCCAATATTCCTTTGTACACACCTTTCTACTGTGTCTTTTCGAGCCAAATTCCCAACATCCAGTTCTGTCATTATCATTGCTGCTGCATTGTCTCAATATTTTTTACTATTCATCTTGTTATGTTCTCGTCTTGTTAATCTTGGATGGAAATGTGCCGACGAACATCTGTGCCAGATATCTGCATTGATGATGACTTACTGACTGACCTACGTGGTTCTACTGCACTTTCAACATCTAGTTTATTTATCTGGTTGTCTGTCTAGTAAATAAACTCCCGTTTCTATTTTGACAATTGAAATTTTTACAGGTAAACCTTACGAGTCCACTGCCCTAGTGACTAAAGTTGCTCGAGGCAGTTCGGCAGAGGCATCTGGTTTAAGAATAGGTGATCGGATTGTTGCCATTAATCAGAAACCTGTAAAATCTATGACATTCTTAGAAGTTTCCAATTTCCTCCGAAGTGGCAGGTTAGTTCTTTCTATTTGTTGCGTAGCATTTACTGATTTCTTAAGAAATATAATAACTTTGTCAATTCTTCGTACAGCTAAATGGAAGCGTTAATTAATATTAAAGCTTCTTATTTGATTGTTGTTTGTGTATCTAACCAAATTGATGTCAACAATTTGAGTCAGTCTTAATAGAAAGTAAAGCCTTAAGAGGTCTGCGTGATACTCACATTTTCAAGTGGTTGTTCACTGAGTAGTGACCAATGCCACGTATGTCAAACCTTTCTTAGTACTAATCTAATTCTACCTAATGGCACCAAAAAAAGACTTCACATCCATGATATTGGTCACTACTCAGTGATCAATCAATCGTAAATATATCTCAGTCCTCTAAGAGGTCTATCACGGTCCTAATAACTCAGTGGTAACGTCTCTAATTCTAAACCTGAGAGACATGGGATTAAATCCCATACGAAACATCATCTCCCTCAATAATACAGGTAAACCTTATTGATGAGTGTCAAATAGCACGAAACCTAGTTCAAGTAAGGTTTGTTGTCGACTACCTCAAAAGATACCGTTTAATGTACATTTGGTGTGCGAAATGGTCAATCATATCATTAATTTTCAAATAAGTGGGCTTTTTCGTTAGGATTGTTTTGCACTTACATCTAACCACCAACTTGTCACAAGTAGAATGAGAAACATGCTTCCTGGATTTTATTGTTAGTCGAAATTCAATGACTACAGAATTATGATGGCTGCTATCTTACGATATTATTATCATCATTTTTTCTATCGAATTCAATTGGAACATGTATTTCGTGGACCGACGTCAGTCATCGTAAACTATTATTACTACCACCTTTACTAATAATATTGATTTTTCGATTGTATGAATACACAAGTCGAGTGAAGAGGTTTTATTTTTTATTTGGCTCCTCTACACAAATATATCTAAGTTTTCTAGTTACAAATCAAATCATTACCAAATAAATCCTGGTAGGTGAAGTTAACAATATATCTTAATAGTTTCTTTAAAGATAGGAATTAGTTAGTGACTGAACGGATGCAAAATGAACTCTAAAATCGAGGTCACATAATCGGTCAATTATAGTGGCTCATTACGAAAGGACAAGAATAAGACATGGGTAATTTCGAAGTTAAGCAGTTGAACATAAATGAATACAGCGTGAACAAGCACTTGAGCAGACCAAAATAAATCCATTTTATTTATGTGGGCTCTCGTCAACCGCTTACACAACCCGTAATATTTAAAAGTTTTCATTACATCATAAACTTTTGTTCAACTCCTTTCATTTGATTGGGTCATTATGCTTTAATCAGTAATCTTATCCCGACTAACTTATCTTTACTCATTTTATTTTATTTTTTTCTACCTATTTTTAATGTTGGTTTACTACACAACCACTCATCTCTAGCTCTTTGGTCTTTTGATACTATCATGTTATAGAATATTCCTTTAAATAGGATGTGTATTTGCAATAATTAATATGGTTTTCACTGTTTTAAATCATGAATTGATCTTAGACCATCATTGGAAGACTGGAATCACTAGATAGCTGTTTCATCCTAGTATGGGATTCTTCAACAGTGGGCGTCCATGGTCCCACATTCGGAAATTGAACCCAGGACCTTCGCTCTCGCTCACGAACAAGTAATCTCTAGACCACCATACTAAGATTCACTGTGTCACTGTCGAATTTTAACCAATCCACGACATTAGACAATCCTCATTTAATAATAGTCTCAACAAGATTTATTCGCGATTTAAAACTGGAAATTCTATAATAATCACACATTCTGTATACTTTATTCAATTGCTTAAATTTATTAACAAGTCAATTTCTGTTAGCCTAGAACAGGTTCAATTGAATTCCAACAAGATAAATTTGAAAGCTAAATTTATCGGTATCTTGATGAAATCTATCAGGCTTATCTGGCACAAGATAGACATATACCTAATAAAATTAAGAAGAATAAATCCCAATCAAAATATCAACAACGGGATAATCCCAAGACTTTTCATTATTTTTTATTCAATTAACTATACAGACAGTAACGTTTATATTGAGCTTAATTGTTGTATAGAATAATATAGTTAATTAAAATAGTTGGGTAATGAAAAGGTCAAGGGTGGTCAGCTGCTTACTTTTGGTTTAATTAATGTGTATTTGTCGATTATTTGAAATTGTTGGTACATTAAGCTTCAATCTATTGAGTCTTATTTTATTTATTTAATTACTTAAAAATGAACATTAGTACAAAGGGGTACCAACATATATATGCACCACACAAATCATTGAATTTGTGCGTGGAATGGAATACTACCAGTGTGCTTAAACCAAGGAAATAGGTGATTTTCTTAGGAGGCTATTTCCTTATCCTTTGACATAGATATCTAATCGACAAGCGAGTGGAGCGATGTTCCATGATAACCGGTAACCAACAATAAATTCATACTCGATTTTTTCCGTCAGGATTTCGTAGCTCATGTACGGCATTAGTTTGGAATCAAGATTTTACAACTGTCTTGGGTACGTTCTCCGTACATCATAACTCCATTTAACCCTCCATTGGACATTGCCTTTTTGTTCTGACAATTTCGTAAGCAACACTGCAACCACGAGAAGAACTTTCTTAGCAGTGGCAATGTATGGTCTTACACATGAGGGCATTTGGAGACGTAGAGGGAACCCTCTACACCATTGGTCGTACCAGGGTATTCAGAGGTAAAAACAGACAGTGACACCCGATATTCTCAGTCGGTCAATCATGCAAGTACTGACCGGGTCCAATGTTGGTTAACTTTGATGATCGAATAAGAACCGGTGTCTCCAACGTGATATGGTCGTTCTAAACTAACACGAGAGGAGTGTCATGGAACATGCCACTGATTAATTCTAGTACTTTGTGTCAGTCAAACTATATGCCTTAAGTTTTTGCAGTGTTGTGAGTACTAATTTGAGTTACACAACTGTATAGTATGATATCTTCAGTGTAATACGTTTGTTTAGTGCCACAAAACACGTAAATTCGCAAATATTGTTACAGGGAACCAATCGAGATTCAATACTTTAATAATCTTTTAACAAGTTTAGTTGTAAACAATGTGATGATCGTTGCAGAATTAAAGATAAATATTTTTTTCCACTTAAGTTAGCTGAATAGAACTGTTGATTACTTAACGTCTTAGTTCCTCGTTGTTACTGATTGACTGACTAACGCCTTAGTTGCATGCAATACATTTTACTGTTTACATAGAATGATGGTTGTACTTGAAATCAGTTGTCTGAGCCAATTGAGTTTTTCTGGAAAGTTTACTTTCGTGTATAAATATATCAATTGAATATAGCTATTACAAATCACACATTAGTATCAGAAGAGGTTTTGTGGAGATTCTAGTAATTTCAATAGTTGAGATCAGTGGTGCGCATCCATGACCACGCCTCGCGAGATTCGAACCCAAAACCTGCCAGTCTCGCGCCAGGCGCTTAACCAACTAGACCACTGAGCTGGCACCCAATAGGACGAGGCGGCCATCCAGTGCTTCCAGATTTTCCATGGTGGTCTAGCTTCAATTGACTTATGATCTCAACTATTGAAATCACACATTATCGGATTTACGCCGCTGTAATTTTCTTCTTTTCTACATATCTCGTATTCATTATTTTGTAATATTCTGGTCTTTTGAACAGTTCAATAAATGGTAAGGCTTTTAAACTATCCAGAATAATGTCAAGTGTCTGTTAATTTCAGTCTCAGTTCATGACCTAGATACGTGTTTTTGTTTGACGAGAAAAATTACTTTGATTATACTTGACTCATTGTAATGATTTCACATTTTTTACTCATGTCATTTCCAATCAGTAATTATGAGTTGTCGTTGATTTTTACATAAAAAAAACATACAATATTAAAACCATTAATTGAATCTGCTAAGTGGTTAAAAGGTTGTCTACAGAAAGCCTTGCTTTATCTCGGTTTTATGCTATTTGAGACTGATCACTAAGGTGTACTTGTAATCACTAGGAAACTAATGCTTGGATTCGAATCTAGATCACTCAGTTGCACAGTTAGAGATATCACTACTGAGCAACTCAGATTGCGATTGACCCCAGTAAAACTGAGGTATTTACTATGGATTGATCATTTAGTAATGATCAGTTTAATGTTTGTCTAATCCTTTAGCATATATATAAATTTATACTTAAACTTTATTTTTATTCTTATTATCATTATTGAGCTCATTTTAAATCTTTTGTTTCAGCGATCGAAATATTCAACTTACATTACTGCATAAATCTCTTGTTCCTAACCAACCAATTACTGATACAATTTGTGAATTATCACCGCTTAAAATATTGACTTCATCTAATATCTCTAATGGTATTCAAAATATGTCTTTGAAAGATTCCAATTCTGCATTTTTATACACTACTAATACTAGTAATACTTCTACTATTACTACTGATGTTCATAAAGATGAAATGAAGATTTCACCTGACTGTACTGTAAGTCTTGTAGCCTCTTGATTGAATACGTTACATATTAAGTCTAATTAATCCATTCAGTAATGCGTTGTTGTTGGTGATGATGTCTCACTTATAGTTGTATGTAAAACGGCAAAGTTATTGTGAAATGTAAGTAGTAAAGGGTTGTGGTCCATTCTTTAGTTTCCCTCAAATTTCGACATTCTGAATTCCTCGACTTCTTTTATCGTTTTTATTTCACTAATTTGTATCTTTTCCTTGAATCGTATAACTAATGCCTAATCTTCTCTATTACCACTAATACTCTTACTACCTCTAGCATTCTGGGATTTGGTCTTATAATTCCATCTCTCTGTGGAGTATGGCAACTTAAACCAATGTACATACGTACAGGCTCCACATTGTGACTGACTGACTATCTAATTATAAAAGCCGATTTTCTACTATTTTATTAGATTAGAACATATTCTGTCATCATTTTATTTCTAATATTTGATTGGTAGTAGTATCTTACGAATGTTATCAATAATTTACACTGCGTTTTAGATTGTAGTGGCTTGGCTTCGAGATAATTCCTTAGGTTTCGTTTATCAAATACCCCGGTAATCGTTATTAAGTAAATCCCAGCGGTGTATGAATTCAGAAGGTAATACGAAGCGGTGACTACAGTTTATTATTGAATAGTACAGTAAGGAAGTTCTAAGCGCATCGAGCGAATCTGAGCTGAGAGGCTAATGCACACAAACAAGCGAATACATATATATATATATATATATATATATATATATATATACAGACATGATAGTGATCATAATGATACAAAGAAATAGACAAATTGCTACTGTTCGAATAGCACTATCTGTCGAATAAAGTAATTAAAGGGTTTGACAAAATTAACCGTAATTAAAATTGATTGTAGAAGTGTTGCTATGAGATCTTCAAGTATACATGCATCTACAGTTGGATGGTATTGTATGTGTGTGTGCTCGGGTTTGGGTACCCGGACAGTAGCCCAGCCCTCACACAAATGGAATGCTTTATCTGGCTCATATCTGTTTGATACTTCCTCGTACCAATGTTTATGTGTTTGACTAAATAAATAAATGGTGTGTGACGTAGATCGCTATTGAATATGGCATATATTTTGCATATAATTGGATATCAAAGTTTTTTCAGAGTAAATGTGTCTGTTATACTTCTCCGCAGATGTAACCGACTTTAAGCCATCTAACCCCAACCTCTAACTATAGATCACAATAGTTGCTCGGATTCCAACTGAGTAATTTACAACTACCAACAGGGTTCGATGCAATTGTTGGTGACTTCATGGACTGATCCTATGTCTTTGACTGAACTATAGCCTTCGTCTCACATATGGGTAGGTAGTGGTTAGGCATACATAACACATTTCCCAGTCACATCTGTCTATAAACGTTCACAATTTCATCAAGTGATCTGTCATTTTTACCTAGCACTCTGTATCTGACTTCGACTTTGCTGTCTCGATGGTTCCGACGTACAGAAGCATCACTTCAAAAGTATCTATACACCAATCAACTTATTAAGCTTTATTTGAATTTCGTATCAATTTGTTTTCTAGCAAAATTTACCTTGAATTTCAATCACAAAACAACATTTATCCGTTAATCGGTCAACATACTATACATTTCTATCTGATTTCTAACCATTTTTTGTCTATTATTTTCTTTAATCCGTTACAATTTGTAGTCGTCAGTTGTTTCTCAGTTGAATAAACCGACACCGAAACCTCGAACTACTATTACTGCTACTGCTACTGCTAACACTGGTAATAATAATAATTGTGAAAAGCTGTATAATAGTCAAGAAATGAAAAATTTGGACAAGTTATCTAACAATTTATTACATCCAGTTTTATCACAACTTCAAGAATCCGGTAAATATCTTTTTTCTTGAAAGTATTATTATTGTTTTTGTGAAAGAGTACTTCTTTTTCCATATATGAATATACTGTTCCTTATATTTTTTTCAAATGCACCAACAAATTATTAGCCCCCAAATGCCCTGGTACGGCTTAAAGTGGGGAGAGTCAGCCCTCCCTCTCGAAATGCTTTCACATGGTCACGTGCATACAACTACTGCCAGGGAAGTCATACTCACTGCCTTCTCGCACCACGGGTGTTGTTTACGAAACTAATAGGACTAAAAGCGAATGTCCAACGATTTAACCGGGTTGGTGGACACGGGGAGTCCACCTAGGGGAGTTGGAAAGCCCTGATTCCAAACCAATAGTGCACATGGGCCCCAGTATCTTGAAGGAACAAATGGCTTATGAACTTATTTTTGGTCACTGGCTACCATGGGACTTCATTTCCTGATGTTACTCTACTATCTTGTGGATCAGACTTTTAGGTCGAAGGCCACGGGTGTGACCTCCTTAGAAAATCACCTTTTTCGGTTTGGGCACCCGGACAGTATCTCAGGCCTTACAGAAATCGAATGGTTTATGTGGCGTATGTCTATTTAGTTCCTCCTTGTACCAATGTTTATGTGTTTAAATAAATAAATAAATAAATTATTCAATGTTGAATTTTTGGAATTTCACCCAAATCCATTCAATTACGTTAGAAATAGCAGCAGATCTGTAATATACAGGTGAAAGTTTGTCATATTTCACTTTGGGATAATAAAAGAAGATTATTTATGTTTCAAAACGAAGAAGTTAAAATAAATTTATTATCAGTGAATATGACAATTCAACATAGAAATTTGCAGTCTGATGTAAATCAATGAACACCATCAAGTGTAAAGCGTAAGGTGTTCATTACACATTCAAGATTTCGAGGAAGACTAAGAATGAATACATCAAGTTTTCAATACACTACCTTCTGATATGAATTAATTTATGAACTTTCACGATCTTAGAAAAAATAGGAGTTAAATACAACGTCTTTATTGCTGCCAGATTTGAGCTAGATCACCTATTGTCTCAAACTCTTCATTATTATACCTTAACCAGGTATTTCAAGTAAGAGTTGGATGGAAGTAAGAATCACAATAAGAGAAACGATATTATATTTATAATTTTTACAGAAGAAAATCTTAACGTCTTCTCCACGTATCCACTAGCGTTGATTGGCTAAAGAAAATAGTCAGTCAGTATGCTCAAACACAATCCTGCACGGAACATACTTTAATCTAATCTATACCCCGCTGACAAAGCTAAAATCATACAGTTTAACTTTCTATAGTTCATATGTTCGAAATTTATTCCAAACTAAACTGTCGTTCTAAATAATCCAGTGTTATTCACAGTTACATAGCGCACATGAAGCTGTTTTCTCACCAGTTGTTAAATCATTTAATGATTTATTTAAATGTAGTAATATTTATAAACTAACTTTACTTGATGTATCTATGTAAACTCATTTTATTTCTGTAACATGGTATTATCTTTCAATCAATTAATCTGTCTAATACATCGAACGTGTATATTAGCAATTTATTGTTTATATATACAAACGAGTACACATATATATAACTCAGTTAATCAAATAAACTTTCTTCTTCACTCTTCATCTTACCACTCTAGTAATTAGGGTCTTCTATGAAGGGCGTGTATTAGTATCAGCTTCTGGACACCATTTATCACAACACAATCATCTATAATAATAAAATAATAATATATTTCAATGGTTGAGATCATGAGTCAGTTGAAGCTAGACCACATTGGAAAACATGGAAGCACTGGTTGGCCGTTTCATCCTATTGTGAGACTCCTCAGCAGTGCGCATCCACGATCTCGCCTCCCGCGAGATTTGAACCCAGGACCTATCGGTTTCGCTCACTTCTCGAGAGTGAATATTTACTTTTTACCAAATGCGGAAATTAAATTACTAAGTTAAACCTTAATACTTATACTTATAAATTGACTAACAAATGTGAGGATATGGTTATGGAGATTGTGGAGTTTCGCTGAAATCATAAACGGCGATTGATTAGAATTAGACATTGATACTGTTGGATAACAGCCCAGTGGTTTACAGGTTATGCGTACGCGTGCGAGACCGAAGTTTCTGGGTTGGATTCCTGCATATGGAGTCATGCATGCTCATTGCTCAGGAGTCTCATACTAGAATGAAACATCTGTTCATTACTTTCAGTATTTCAATAACGATCTAACTTAGATCAGTTTATGAATTCAATGAAACTCAACAATCTCCACAACCTTATACTGACAGTTATCTTGTCCCGACTAATGACTATCTTCGAGAGAATGTTCCAGGAGATTTAGTGAGAAGCCGTGACCAGTGAATTTCAACCGTCTTGAGTTTGAGGTAGTTACCAACCGAAGACAATGAAAGGTGGTCGCACAGTATCGTCATTAGCAAGTATCTGTATATTTTACTGCAGAACCAATGCAAATACATTTTTTTCCATGAATTTATGTGGGTTTCTTAATTTGTATCAAAATTCTAACTCTAAATAATGAAAGCCATCAAATTGGTTTTCTACAAGCAAACTTATTTCATACATTCGTAAGCAATGGGTTATAGCAGTTCTAACTTGTAAACTACTTCATGCTTAGAAATATTTAATTGATACAGTTTTACGTCTATAATAATAACAACAATAATAATAGTTGCTTTTAGCTATGCTTTTGTGAAAATATGAAAGGTTGGTTGAATAACACCTTTATTATAACAACACTCTAACAAGATTATTATGTTCTTCAAGATTAGAGTGACTATTCTCAATTTACCATGTGAACAACTAACTTTAAAGTTGGATAAATACCTTTAACTAGATTGCTTTTTTATGCCTCTGTGTTGTTCAGGCAATTACAAACGTGTCTTCTCAATAATAAGTATTAATAAGTAGTAAGTTGTGTTAACACTGCAATGTTCTATTCATATTACAATCAGTTATATGAGTAAGGGTTTATGTTAAACTGATAAGGGCTGATGGTATATTTGTCATCAATAGGTTTTTATTAATTCACTAAGAGAATATGAAGCTCAGGATGAAGATGTTTTGTTTTCTGATGTACTGTTGTTGTGAAGCACTCATTATCCCTCTGAACAACATTATCAGTGTGTACTTCGAAGGGAAGTGAGCATTTAGAATTTTCCTATGATTGACTAACAGGTTGTTGTACGAAAATTTTGATAGCTTATTTCTCACTATATTACGTGCTGATAATGATGTTGAAAAGAACAATGAAAGTTTCACAACCAAATCATCCAGCTCTGTGACTACAAAATCTTCATCTGAGTAACTATCCCGAACCCTCTCATGTGCCAAGCGTTGTTAGTGTGTAATGATTGTAATACATAACGCTACTCTTCAAAGAAGTACTGTTAATAGTTTTTGCTTTGTTTATAGACTTTGATGCTTTCTGGGTAGATCTTCCTTTGAACTTGCAAATATTATGGTCTACAAACACATATTGTCAGTAATATCCCAACTCTGTTATATGCTTCAACGAATTTATCTTTGTTAAGGATGAATACATTCAACAGCCTAATCTGTTGTTTAACATTTGAGTGTAATCTCTCTGTGTGTGTTTGTATGTGTGTATGAATCATGTGTGTATCTATCACATTGTCCGTACTACTTTTTGTTTACTTGCATCATTACTGTTTATAAAGTTCTCTCCTACATTTACTTATTATGCACTGAGTTTGTGTTTCTTGCTACCATTTGGTGCAATCAATAAACTTTATTGATCTTCGTATGTGTTAAGTTTGCATGTGTGTGGGGGTGAGTGAGTGCATGCTTGATTATTAGCTTATTTTCTGGTTAATTAGTTGTTCTCTATATACATCAATCATTATGTATATGTGTTTGTGTTAATGCCATCATACTCGGTATGTCAGAGATTGATGCATATTCTGATTGAATAAAGTCATATGATGATGTTCGGTGAAACAGCTGATTTTGTTGAACACAAACAAATAACCATTAGCTTATATTTATAGATAATATCACGAGCTAACTTAGGTTAGACAACCATCGCGTATCAAGGAGCACTGGATTGATGTTTTGGCCTAGTATATAACTCCTCAACAACACACTGTGACTAGTTGAAATTCAATCATATTTAAATTGAAGCATTTGTGTGTCCACCAATGAGATTGGATAATGGTTGCAAAATATCAAGAATTCATTAGGACTAAATATGTATACCATTGGGTCCCCAACTCACTAAATTGAAATATAGCTGCTCATTATGCGAGTTGGTGGTCTCGAAGTTTATCCCCATTGGTGTGATCGTGGATATGTACTGCTACAAGGAAGCCCCACTGTAGGACGAAAAAGCTACCCACTACTTCCTAGTCTCAAGTAGTTGTTCAATTAAGCTCATTTCCCTATGTGAAATACAAACTTCAGCAAACTCTACACAAATATATCTATACTGATGGCTTATTATTTTGCTGAATTATTTCTTCACATTATCCATTGTGAAATACAAAACATTTCACTGATAAGGTTCTTTTTCTCTTGTTTTTTTTTTTTAAAACTAGTGTGTATCTTAAACGTAGATTGATGAATTTATTTCTTATATTAAGTTTAAAAACCTTTCAACACTTGTAAAATACGGCTTTTCGGTATTCAGGTACTGTTTGGGCAAATGTCTAACACTAACAACCTTTGGCGATTTATCAGTCAGTCATGAAACTCTGCAAAGTTATAAAACAATGGAATAACGGCTTTGATCTAAATAATTAACCCTCATATGTCAAATTATCCCTTGTAGTAAAGAAAAAGGGTCAAGTTTACATATATTTAGATATTTTAAGAGTCAGACTAGCGTTGTGAATTTGAGTTATCACCCTATAGAATTTTTGTTATTTTTGTTATTTTATTATTTATTTTAACACATAGGTATTGGTACAAGGAGGCACCAAATACATATGCGCCACACGAATCTCAATTGATTAGTGTGAGGGATGTGATACTGACCGGGTGCCCAAACCGAAGCAGGATAGAATTTTTGTTACAAACTGATATTAGTTATAATGCAATGCCTTACCATCTTTCCGTTTACAGACTTGAAATTCTTAAGTTTGAGCTTTAAAGTAAGAGTAAGAAAAGGTGAATATTATCTAACTTCACTAAATACTTGATTATGTAATGACCCTCACATCAAGTTCTTTAATATGCAGCCTACCTTAAGAGCAGGTAATTTAGCTCAAGCACCATCCGAAATTGACTTTTTGGTTGCATAATTTATGTTTCTATTGATTTTGAGCATTTTACGAACCAAATCATGTTAATTTTCACTTAGTTAATGATAACACACACGTTATTTATCACTGCACTTCAAATTTTGCGCAAATGTATAGTGTTATTTTGATTCTAACTGGTTAACTCAAGGACGTCAGTGCATTATACTGTTACGCTGTTTGATTATTTAACCTTTATGAACTTAACTGTAACGTGTTTCATGTGTATGAATATCTACTTTTCTGTAAGAAGTAACAAGAATTGTTTATTACTAGCCACTTAGTGGTAAAGCCATTTGATTTTCAGTCATTAAGTCCCATATTTGAAGTCCGCTTCACCTACTTCAGTTCAGGGCAACGGTTAGTATCATTGGAATTTTTGTACACATCAACTGTTATCCTTTATATTTCTTTTAAAATGATGTTACTTTAATGAAGACATTGTTTTCTTGTATTTTTTTTCTAAACTTTAGAATTTGACAATTCATCAACAAGTCATTTACTCTCAGATGACTTCCTATCATCCAATGAAGCTCGTAAAGAAAACTCTTGCCCACCTGATTCAATTCAGTTGATGGATAATTCTCCAACAGGAACTGATAAAACACTGACTAAGTTCAAACCCATCGATCATAATTTGAACACATTTGTATCATCTAAAAAGTCTGGATTTGATTCTGTTCGAATTATTCGAAAACATACAATAGATCCGTCAAGTATTGAAGATGTAAACACCGATACACTGCCAGTTCGATTTATTCGTAAACGTGCCTATGCTTCTACTCGTCATCCTGGTCGATATGATCAAGTGAAAACATTAACATCAATGAATATCACTTCTACTGATAACACAATTACTACAAGTAATACTACAGAGAGTCAGCCAGTTTCTGTTACATCTAAAAATGTCCACACTTCACCATGTCAACTTTTACCGGCTGTTAATGTTTCACATAAAAATTCCATCAGTAATTACCAACATAATGCTGAACCTAAAATAATTCACTTACCTCGACGTCGGAGCTCTACCAATAGTGTTAGTGTTGTACAAGGATTACATTCGAAAAACCAAATGAATGTATCATGTTTTACTCGTGATGATAATAATGATGACGAGCATGATTATTTGCTTGATAAGCAACCATTTCAAACTGGTACTATTAATATTGGACCGTTAGGAAAAGGTGTTTCAAACGTTCATGAAACAAATATCTCATATTCATCACGTAAGTAATATATATGAATTTCAATTTATCGCATTGCTAAAACTAGTAGTTATTTATACTGAGCGTTTGAAACAATTAGTACTTCTTTCGAGTCTTGGAATAAACGTCAACTTTGTAATGTAGTAGGTACATCAAGCTGGTGAGTCCCAAGTAAGGCGAAACGCGCGTCCTGGATTCCACTGCTAACCAACATCCAACTTCTGCCTAAAATGCTTATGACTTGATGCAATATCGAAGCAATCCTCGTAGGATGCACATATATACAAAAAAAATCAATTGCAGTTCTATTATAACTTGTGGCCTGTGTGCCCTGTTAATGTGTACGTAAACGATACCGCCAATTAGAGAGCAGTGACTTATCGATCGGACCAACGATGCGTTAAAACCTACGAGCAGTCTAGAGTACTTATCAGTTCTGCTTTCTGCCTAGCCCAGCCAGTTGAATCCGGAACACCAATCCGAGCCTCTGCGATATGAATCATGTATTTCAAACATACTCGGTTTATATACCTACCAGAGAGGCCACAACGTACCATAAAATAGAAAATAACATTTGTACAAGGTTTCGCCAAAAGTGGCTGTGAATAATGGACGTATAATAATAGTTCATAGGTCAAAATAAAGCTTATGATAAGAAGAATATTAATATGCATAGTTTAGTTATTTAACAATTATACGATAAAAATGTACGTTTAGTATTGGTCCATAAATGGATCCCAAAAGTTACCATTCATTATGCCTATCGGGACATAACAAGTCCTCAACATCAATGGGAAGATCTGAACGACTAATATACATATAAATTATAATCATAGGTTCGTTGTTCTAGATAATTAATCGTACTACTTATGTTAGTAAAATGCAGTTCTAGTCATATCGATGCGTTTTGGCATACTTTTGTATTTTTCAGTGTATGGTAATCTACTAATATTTACACTTACTAGTTGGACTTCACTTTAACATTAGTTTTAATGTTAACTTATATGTATACCTGTGCTGTAGTCTACGGTAATTTGAATTACTAACAATTGACATATTTTTCTTATACGAAACTTGACAGATTCGATGACTGACACAATAATCATCTTTAACCCTTTGAAAAACAGAAATAAGTCAAAAGGACTATTAAAAGATTGATAAAAAAAAACTGTGGTGAAATAACTCTGTTTATATATAGCAAGTAATGATAATTTCGAAGTATAACACAATTCGTAAACTTTAAATGCCCTAGTATGGCCGAGAGTGGGGAGAGTGCCCCCACCCTCTCCAAATGCTCTCACATGGTCACGCGTATATAGCCTCTGCCAGGGAAGTCCTTTTCTCTGCATTCTCGTGGCGGGGGTGTTGTCTACGAAAATGAGAGGACGAAAAGTGAATGTCCGGCGCTTTAACCGGATCCAAACCAATGGTGCACATGGGCTGTAGTATCCTGAACGAACAAATGGCGTATGAACCAATCATTGGTCACCGACTGCCATGGGACTGCATCTCCTTACGATGCTCCACTACCTTGTGGACTAGACCTTTAGGTCGAAGGCTCGGGGTGTGTTCCCCGAAGAAAACCACCTGCTTCGGTCTGGGCACTCAGTCAGTATCACAGCCCTCACACAAATGAAATAAGATTTGTGTGGCGCATATGTATTTGGAGCTTCCTTGTACCAATATCGATGTGTTCAAATAAAATTTAAAAAAATGAAAATCAATATGATAACAACAAAAGTGATTAGGGGGTATCCTTGTAAACTTTATTACTGCTGAGGAGTCCCACAATAGGACGAAACGGCCGTCTAGTGCTTCCAGATTTTCCATAGTGGTCTAGCTTCAACTGACTGATGATCTCAACCATTGACATTGTTTCTTCATAAAAAAGCCAGATACCTTGTTGTCTTCCTAACAGTATCATTTAACAATTAAACAATGATCACTGATGATAGTCATTTGAATCCTTACTGTACACATTTGACAATCACTATTTTTCTTCAAACTAATGATCAGTAACCTTTTTTATTCATATTAGCTAGTTTGACGGTTGAAATTTTCAGTCTAACCATTATGAATTTGTGGATTAATAATGCAGACAATTGACTTAATCGTTAATTGAGACTACAGCCTCATATTTATTTAAGCAGTTATATAGTGTGTTGTATGTTTAATCTTCACAGCAGTTGCTATTAGATTACAGTTTATTTGTAATATAATTAAACTGTATGACCGACCGTATATATGGTGTATTTAATTTTCTATTATTAAACCAAAGTTTAATCATAACTTGGCATAGTGACATTTGTAACTCTATAGCTGCATGTATATCTATTACATCTGACAAGTTTATTTCGAGTTTACAATACATGCTATTCGTTGCTACATAGTCATAAGATCATATTATGTAATTCTCAATGGATGAATAAGTTGTCTCTAATCATATTTAAGTTATCTGATTTATGAACACATAATTGACACAATTTGCAATTATATAGATTACTTATTTAGTCCCCATATCATTGTAATAGTTAGTGTTATCACATGTATGTATTAAGTTAATTTACAACAAATTATAAACAAGTATTAACTTGTATTCATTCATTAACTAATTATCTTTTTAGTTATTCTGTAGTTTTTGGCTCTGAATCAGGGTCCATTAAATTAAGAGGCATTAGATTAACTACAGATTTTTAGTCAAAGATGTCTTCAAAGCATTCCTATCGTTTTGTTAAACAATCTAGTGAGCAATAATAAAGTTACATATTTATTTTTTTAGACTCAAATGTTGGTTCAAGGAGTCATCCCTCTTACGGTTATAACCCAGCAATCCCTATTGATTAGTATTCTCGGACACAGATTCACTCGATAGGTCCCCAAACCAGAACACGGTTGAACAGGAAAGAGATTATATTCCAAATAACAAGGTTAGATGGAAGTAAGAACCACAATCGGAAAAACGTTAGTATGTTTATAGTTTTACATGAGAAGATTTCTAGAGTATTCTCCAAGTATTGGCTACCGCTGATTGGGCAAGGATTAGCCAATTAGCATGCACCAAAGCAATCGTGCATTGAGCATGCTTTAATCCAATCTATGTCCCGCTAACAGCACTACACAAATCATACCATTGTTTTGGGATCAGGGTTTTTTAACCCCGTAGGTGTATCTTTCATCGTATTTATCACCTCGTTTTAAACGCTGACCGGACATTCACTTTTCGTCGTCTCAATTTTGTAAAGAACACGGCAGCGATGAGTATACAATGAGTACGATTTGAATGGCAATGGCTACGTACGCATTAACATGTGAGAGCATTTGGATAGGAAAAGCGGACTTCTCCCTGTCGATCATACCAGGGAATTTGAGAGATTACACATACGTTTGTGAATTACTGAATCTTCATCGATTAAGGTTTATTAGATGGCCAACAATAACAACTATCATTTACATATAGAAGTCTGTTAGATGTACTTGAATCCCAGTATAATTTCATATGTGTTTTCCATTCTATCTTCTCACATTATATCCTCAACTTTTCGTTCTTTGTCATTACCGTTGCATATTGAACTATTTTGGTTGTTTCAGTTTTATTTTTCGTTATTTTCTTTCCTTTGTGTTAATTTGATATGACAACTTGGGCCTATGCACATTTTTCCATTGGGTAATTTTATTTGTACATTTTTTTTATTTTATTTTTTAGCTAAAGAAGATTCACCTATGCCTTATCATGAAACATATACCAATAAGTCAAATTATACTTCTGTTGGTACATCACATCGATCCAGTAAAACCAGTTTATTAAGTTCACGTTTATGGGCATCATTTGATCAAGATCAAAATGAATCTGTTTCAGATTTGTGGACACGAGCCGGTGAAATGTATCATATGCTTGAACAAGAAAGTCAACGTTTAGCCAATAAGAAAACAATAATGACAACTAATACTACTTCTACGTCTACCACTACTACTAGTAGTTGTAATAATAGTAGCCGTAAAAGTAAAACTCATCGACATCTTGGCACATGGAATAATTATCAACAAATGAATTGTTTATCTGATGATAATGATAAGAATACAGTTAAAAATCTGGAATTTTCTTCACATCAACCTTACTATTCTAGTCCTATACCTAATTGTCATAAAGATATGTCTACAAAAGCTGGTCATTACAAGTAATTCATTATAAATTAATTCGTTAATACTTTTTTGTTTATTTCATTTATTATATGGTTGTGTTTATTATTCATTACTAACTCAACACCTTAGTATATTAATTTAATTTGGATAATGCAATGATATTGAGATAGTGGCGAAGATTTGTAGCTCAAGTGGATGATTGATATGAAGTTTTTGTCTTTGAAGTAGATGATTCGGTTGTAGAACTTTCATTGTTTTTCTGAACAACATCGTCAGTATAAACTTTAGGAAGGAGTGAAGTGTTCGGATTTCTCCACATATGACTCGCAGCTTGCTCTGTCGAACGCAATTTTAATTGATCATTGTTAACCTTCAAGTTGTCATCTTCTGCCTATTTATTTTGATTGGATCTACCTTTGATCTGATTCTTAATCTTATATTTGTCTATGATCTTTCTGACTGATTGATAATTTGGATCGATTTTGATGTGTTTACTGATTACTGATTTACCTGGTGCTAAGCCCCCCCCCCCAACCCAATTTTCTACTGTTTTGAGTATTCCCTCTATCCAAGATTTCAATATTTTTTTTATTCGAACGTGTGTTCACAATCGTTCTCATGCATTGATATCAATGAAGGTATATTATGGCGTTTGACGGTTAATGGATGTTCATGCAGGCAACGAAGAAGGAGGAATCCATTTTGTCTGATGTAGTGTTTTTCTCATTTGGAACAGTTTGTTTTGTAGATGGTGTTCGGTTTTTCTTTTGTCATTAACAAATTATGTGAAAAAGAAACAAAGTCCATCTTTCACTATCAACGATTGTATGAGATCCCATTGGGTTTATCAATTTACACCCGTGTTTGTGTGTGTGTTTTTGTGGATACATATATTATGGTGTAGCAGTCATGATTTATATGTTAAGATGTCTAAACATGTTCTATCATTGTAGGTATCATTACCAAAGTTTGATTTGATAATTTCGAATAAATTGAGCATTGGGTAGATTGTTATAAATAAAAATATATTTGTAATACCCCAATCAGTAGAAAAATTAAATCTTCTGACCTTTCGTGACTTAGTGTAAGCCACTTCTTCAGCGAATAATATTTGGTTATTTATTCTCTGAAGAAGTGGCGTACATTAAGTCACGAAATGTCAGAAAATCTAATTCTACTCATTGGGATATTACAAATATATTATTTATTTATGTACTATCATTGCTTTAGGTATACATAAAATCCAATGTCCTAATAAACGTAGGTATTAAACACTCATCTTCATTAATTGCTAAACTCATAATTGAAATAGCTAATAACTTACTTACTTACGCCTGTTACTCCTCGCGAAGGAGCATTGGCCGCTCATCAGCGTTCTCAATCCAACCCTGTCCTGGGCAATCCTTTCCAGTTCTTATTCATCCTTTTCATATCCACTTCTATTTCCCGACGTAATGTGTTCTTTGGCCTTCCTCTTTTCTGCTTCCCTTCAGGATTCCAAGTTAGCGCTTGTTTCGTGGTGCAGTTTGACGATTTCCTCAATGTATGTCCTATCCATTTCCATCGTCTTTTGCTAATTTCCTCTTCAGCTGGAAGCTGGTTTGTTCTCTCCCACAAAAGGCTGTTGCTGATGATATCCGGCCAATGGATGTTGAGTATCTTGCGTATACAGCTATTGATAAATACTTGTACCTTCTTAATGGTGGTTGTTGTAGTTCTTTAACTTTCAGCTTTGTACAGTAGAACTGCCTTGACGTTGGTATTGAAGATTGTGACTTTGATATTAGTTGAAAGTTGTTTTGAGTTCCATATGTTTTTCTATTGAAGGAATGCGGCACTTGTTTTGCCAATCATCGCATTTACGTCTGCATAAGATTGATCTAAATAAAATTTATCTATAGGGAATATTTAGAATTATCGAAACTTTAGCCGTATGGAATTCGAAGCCCCCCACTTTGTGCATTTAAGATCATTTTGTACTTTAACTAAACACATACCCTAATGATATTGATTTATTATCCAAAGTGGTGTGATCCATATTGTTTACATTCTGTTCTCATGATTACTTTTATTTTCCAACTAGTCTTTTTCGCATTTTTACTTTCATATATCAATATCTTAATAAGTAAATGTCTATGATTAAATTATTTTTCGAAATGCACTGCATCAATATGTTACACATAGTTGTAATTAACTTCGTCTTCTCATTCAATTATTTTTATTTATCAGAATGGGGATTTGTGGAGATTGTAGTCATTTTGAAAGTTGAATTCATGAGTCAATCTAAATTAGACCACCATTAAAAACATGAGAGCACTGAATGGCCGTTTCGTTCTAGTATGAATCTCCTCGGCAGTGCACATCCATGAAACAACCGTCCAATGCTTCCAGGTTTTGCAATGGTAGTCTAGCTTAAATCGTCTCATGAATTCAACTATGTAAATTTAACTAGAGAGATATTCACTTTCTTTTCATGTTTACACTTATATTGAACTTCAATATAGGAGAGAGTTGTTTAAATTATTTAAATCACTATATTAACATGCGCTGTGAATAATGACTGTTCAGTTCACTAGTAATATACCAAAACAAAAGAATGGTGTTTCGTTCACTACAACGCACTAATAAATTCGATCTACGTTAAAAAAAGGCGACAATGGTGTTGTGAAGTTTTTATTTATTTATTTAGATACATAAACATTGGTACAAGAAGGCACCAAATAGATATGCGCCACATAAACCATTCGATTTCTGTGAATGCTGGAATACTGTTCGGGTGCCTAAGCCGAAGCAGGCGGTTTTCTTAAGGGGTCACACCTGGAGCCTTTGACTTAAAGGTCTGATCCACAAGGCAGTGGGGCGACGTCAAGAAATGCAGTCTCATGGTAGCCGGTGACTAACAGTGGGTTCATATGCCACTTGTTCCTTCAAGATACTGGAGCCCATGTCCATCATTGGTTTAGAATGAGGGTTTTCCTACTTCCCTAGGTGGACTCCCCGTGTTCACCAACCCCGTTAAAGCTCCGGACATTCGCTTTTCGTTCTATCGATCTCGTTAAACAACACCCGTGGTGCGAGAAGGCAGCAAGTATGACTTCCCTGGCTGTGGTTGTATGCACGTGAACACTCTCGGCCGTACCAGGGCATTTAGTGGCGTATTGTGAAGTAAAAAGGCTGGAGTGACTAGTACAATTCACAAATAACTAGTAACTGTGAGAATTTGCAATAAAGCTGCAGTGAAGTTAGATTTTGTGCAGTTAAACAGTTTGCATCAATATATCCAGAAGATATAAGAGAATAATTATTCAGATTTCCAAAAATTAAGCTTAGTTCAAAAACTTCTCAAGACAATGGGCTACTCATCAACCACCATCATTCTAATTTGTTTTGGTTGTTTGGATCTTCCTAATGATATTTACTCCTGCAATTGATTAGTCTTTTGTTTGACATATGTGTATCATTTACGGATTGCGTTGATATTGCCATTAAGCAGATAACGTGATGGGGTTTAAGGCGAATAGTACCGAGTCCGAGTCTCAGAATGGACATCTACTTTAAGATGTTGCCGGCACATCCAATTGACGAGTCCCGGATTAGACGAAACGCGTGTTTTGGGTTTCACTGCTATTCACTATCCAATTGTGCATGTACTGCTATTTTGTTTTAAATAACGATTGGATTTTATCAAGGGTTTTTCATAAGTCACCTTATTTTACAAAAACTGCTTACACATATGGCCCCTTTTTTAATTCCAGTTTTTTTCATCAAACCATGTATATCAAATGTTGTTATCCAATTGAATTGTAGAAGTTAATTACTGTTTAGTCTTTTATGTCATGTCTTATCAGAGTGCATCTGTGAAAAGTTCAGTTAGTGTTTATTTATTTGGAGATAAATCATGTGTTATCATTATACTTAAGTCAAATTTACTAGAAGGACGTTCGTGTTTTTGTATTGAATCTTCTCATGTATTTATTCATTTATTTTATTTATACACCTAAACATTGATCCAAAGGGATCACCAATATAAATGCATCCATCACACAATTGTGAATAGATAAAGAAAGGTGAGTATAATCATAAGAAAACTAACCAAAATGAATAGGAATTAGTGTATGAGTGAAGCAATGACAACAATTACAATAACAATAATAATGATGGGCGAAGCAGTGTCCTTGGGAAAAATACAACTAGGGAGGATTTTTTAAGTCCCTATCACTTGTGTGAAGAAAGTAAAAGCAATTCACCGCAAGATCGCCACTGGTGGTTTCTATTCTGAAACATTTCTGTAAACGTCTCTAGCTACTGTGTCGCACCATCTCGAGGTTCTAACCAAGGAGTCGTGAACGACCAATAGAAGTCATTCCTGTACAGCTTTCTTCAATACCACAACAACATCATGTCATGTGATATACTGATCACCTCTCCGTTTTTTTTCCAACCAGTCCCATCGTCCGAAAATAACGCAAGGATTTGGAATTCAGTGAGACGACATTTGTAGTACATGCCTATTTATGAAGTCAGTGTTTGAAGGTAGTGACATCAATAAAATTATAGTCTCTGCTCGAACACACATTGCTGAACCTCCACATCACTAACATTGTGTTCCCACTGGATGTCAGCAGCCGTTCAAGGCCGACGATGATCAAACACAGAAAGTCGCTTAACATCGTCAAGTATGAGATGCTAGGTTTCTCATGCATATAGAGTGCGACTGCTCTGACTGACGGATTATAGACCCGATCCTTTACAATCAAATTAACACCACGAAATTCCAAAGATGGCCCACATTAGCATAAGCCATAATGGCTTTCACTATTAGTTTACTTACAAACTACCTATAATATGATCTGTTTTCACCAGAGCGCCAATAGACGCAACTCCTAAGTTTGAAGTACATTCGCTATAGTTTTTTTGACAGTCATCTATATTAAAAGGCTTGTAATCATGAAAACACATATTTAATTGATAGCTGACTGCCGTTAACAGATAGTGGCATGATTATTTCCGACATTATGATTAAGTAGTTTTTAAACTACCGTTAGAACAAAATATATGTGTTACATACAGGTGATTAGGTATTGATTATTTGTTTATAATCAAATAGTGTCTTAAGTTTTAAATGCTGCAACCTTATTTTAGTACTTTTTAATTATCAATAAGGATTATATAACTATGTTTTTCTGATGATAACTAAAATACGAATTTCCTAGAATAATATACTAGATTGAAAATAAACATCGAATTATGCGCTACACAACATTGGCGAACTATTCGTTTAATTTCAGTGGTACCATGAGTCGATCATCACTCTACATCAACTTCATTGACTACGAGAAAGCATAGACAGAACAAAACTATGGAGGCTTCTTCGACACTACGACGTGCCTGAGAAGTTAATCAACATCATACGGAATTCTTATGATGAATTAAACTGCAGAATCGTGCATGAGGGACAGCTCACAGGCTCGTTCAAAGTGAAGACCGACTTTTTTTCTTTCTTCTGGTGATCCACTGGATTGTAAAGACGTCAACATCTGGGGAGAAGCATGGGACACAGTGGACAGCAATGATGCGGCTGGACGATCTAGCTCTTCTATCGCACACGCAACAACAAATGCAGGAGATCTCAACATAAACAAACGGAAAAGGAAGATTTTCCGATACAATGAAACATACACCAATCAAATCGCACTTGAAAGAGGATATGAAAACCTTCACATATCTGGGCAGCATCATTGATGAACACGGTGAATCTGATGCAGTGGTCTTTATGTTCAACATAAGATGTACATTATTCTGCTTTTCGATTTTTAGTGAAGTCGATGTTAGTTCATGGCGTCACTTCTTAATTTTTTGTTCACCAGAATTTATTGGTAAATTCAGTTTATTATACAGTACGAGAAGTTTGAATTTCTTCATTTTATGTATGGGTTCTATACACTTCGTTAAGGTACTCAGTGCAGATTAAAAAATTATGACAACCGTATGTTATGAATTTGTTTGTTTACTTTCAGCTCGCATTGTACGGAATCGAATCGTGATCATACTACTGTGAACTCGACTAAAAAACGCCTACAGTTTCGTGCTTTATGCTCAGGTCTACGATCACATCGTTCAGAATCGGTAAGTCAATTGATAGATAGATTTTCCTGAATACAGAGTGGTCATTTAATTACTCCTTATTATAGTTTCATTTTTACTCTTTAATTAATCCCATAATGAACTCGTTATCGTTTCTAGTTTTTCATCATTTGGTTTAACAAAATGATATTCTAAGCTAATTGATTTAGAGTATGATAATGTTTTGTATCCTCCAGTGTTTAACGATTTTCATTAGTTTAAAGAAATACCGATTGTTTTTCACTAGGTTATTTGTACAAGATCTTTTTGTAGCTTGATAGATACTGTGATAGCCTTCCTTGTGATGGGACCTTCGGTTAATAACGTTTAGGTTTAGAGTTTTTGAGATTCTCGATTTATTTCATCCAACCTGCTTTGCATATGAATTTATCAAATTAAAGTTTAGGCGCTTGTGTGTATACATTTCTTTCTAGTACATATAAAGACAGTATTTTTTTGGGTTGTAGGCGCTACTTGAATGAGATTGTTGGTTAAAACACCTCACATGCGGGATTCAGATAGTCACTTGTTGGAATTAATCACTATTGCGCACATTGTTATTGACTTAAGGATGTTGAATTCGATTTCTAGTGGGATGCACACTACTGAGGGGTGGCACACCAAAACGAAACAGCTATCCAATGCTTTCTGATTTTCCTTCGCTGTCTAACGGAGATGTTTGTTTACGTCTGTTGTTTTGGCTGCCATGGAAAAACTGTTTCTCAATTGAGTTTAGGAAATTATTTGCCTACATATTAGTTGATATCGATATAATTCATTTTCATAAATTATGAAGTAGTTTATGAAATCTAGTTTTTTCTTGTTATTAGAGTAGGTGAGACCATAGTATATAGTGTATATTTTGTCTTAAAAACTGATTGGAACAAGTGGAAGTACTTGTGTGCATCATTGTTCTTGGATCAACCATATTCTCTTGCTCCCAATCGTAGCTTCTGTCCTGACACGTGGTGGTCAGGCTTGCCTTTTGTGTTAAGCGAATCAAGTTTTTTTGGTTGGGTCATTCGTCCCTTTAAGTGTAATTGTGGTACACAATTTGGTTGGAGAACGGTGAGAATAAAGATATTTAAAGGTCCGAGGTTGCAGTCTTACTACTGACTATATGAGCATATAATAACAATCACGTATTTCCTTTAGACAATCCGCATATGCAACGTTGATGTTTTCTCACAACGAAAAGAAAGGGATTACAAATGTTCAACCCTAACAATAATAGCACATCTCACCTCGTCAAACGGATTTCTGCCTTCGTCATCCATAAAGCCCTAAAAATATGAAGCTAACGCATTAAAAACTTCTCGTAACAAATCTATGCTTAACGTACCTAATGCAATTATTCCTTGAATCTTTCGGTCTCACTTCAACATTGTTAAAATTACTTCTAACCTAACTTTCTTTTCATATCGCTCAACAATAAATATTTTTCTACTTTGTAAACAATATCTCTCTCGATATTCTTCATTAAATTTTCTTCTGAATACTTTCCCAACTTTTAGTTTGCTTCACTTCGAACAATGTGTAATAATTGTCGATTGGGATGAAATTACATCTAAACATCGGAATTTCTCTTGTCTCAGCATATTTTAATGTTTTTCAAGATAACTTTATCCGTCTGTTCGTCCGTGCGCGCGTGTGTGTGTGTGATCATACTTCATCATATGAGAGTATTATGTTGTCCCTAATGTAGATGACTTGTAGACAAATCGTTGAGACTATAATTTATGGATGACCTTTGAGCGACGCTAGACTGACCTTGAGAGTGTCCACCTAATAACTAGGACCAAATGAGTATTACACATTAGTGTGATGAAATCGAATTATGATTTACAGTTGATGGTTAAGGTTAGGAATTAGATTTAGGGTTTTTCATCATGAAGTGACATCAACTATAGTGCCAACGTTCTATTTAGCCAAATGAGTTAATAAATTTCGCGCCAATATTTGAGACCTGTTATCTTATACTTGATTTGTTCGTCCATAAATTATAGTTTTACCGACAAATCATTATATAAATCTAACTTAATGATCTGTTCTTTTTTCCTTCTCTATCTTATCATAATCAACTTTGATCATTTTGATCACACTTTAGAATTCCATTAAATATAAACTGTATATATATATTTTTACCTTGACCTCTTTGTAATTACGTATAATAGTAATACCGAATATGATTATTTCTATTTAAACTTATCATATTTATTTATTTATTACAAAATGCTTTATCTTAACATTCATTGACTAGTCAATATAGAGTTATATATATATATATATATATATATATATATATATATATATATATATATATATATATATATATATATATTAGATGGTGGTTAGAGGTAGTCGATAGGAAACCCTGGACCCGGGTTTCGTGCTACTTGGCACTCGTCAGCAAGGTGTACCTGTAATCTTGAGGGAATTGGGGCTCCCTAACAGATTCAATCCCGTGTCACCCAACTTCACAGTCAGAAACGTTACCACTGAGCTATCTGGGCCGCGACTGACCTCCTGTAGGACCGAGATTGATCGCTGAGTGGCGATCAATGTCATGCGTGTTAAAGTCCTTATTAGTGCAGATCGAATGCAATCGACCAAGTTGCAATGTGGCCACAAGTCTCGGTGACTCGACACTTCTTGCAATATGTTGAGATTAGATGGTGGTCGGAGGTAGCTGATTGCATTCCATCTGCACTAATAAGGACTTGACACACATGATATTGATCACCACCCAGTGATCAATCAATTGTTATATATATATATATACATATATATATATATATATATATATATATATATATATATATATATATATATATATATAACTGTTTAACAATAGTAGTGTATTGTAAAGCTCATTAATGTTAAAATATAATCTATTATATGGTGTATATATATCTAGTTAATCATTTCAACATTCGATTAGATTTGATGTCATTAGAAATCATACTACTCTTAGTCAATCTAAAAATCTTTGTTTTATTGTTTTGTGATCTTTATATGAGAGAAAGATTTCAAAAAAGGTTTGTATTACATAAAATCTTGTATCTATCAATTCATTCAGTCATTTGAATGAAATGATAAATTTTGAAATAATTTCTATCAATTATAAGTAGCGATGAATAGTTGTGGCTAACACTGATGGAATCCAGGAAGCCTGTCTTGTCTTATTTGTGACTTGTCTTTAGTGGAATATACTTGCCATATCTTAGAGTTTATGTTCACTTCTGGACTTGAATTCAGTATCGTTGACTTAAAACTTTTTTGCGATATCGACTTTACTACTGAGTCCATATTACCAATATATATATATATATATATATATATATATATATATATATATATATATATATATATTTATTTATTGGTGCAAGGGTGCATCAAATACATATGCGTCACACAATAACAGTGATTTCAGTAGCAGTTGCAATTGCTTAGTATGCGGGCTGTGGTACTGCCCGGGTGCCCGCACAAAGGCAGGTGGTTTTCTTAGGGGGCCGCACCCCAATCAATGGTTTTGAAATTAGGGTTTTTCTAACTCCCCTAGATTCATCGTGCATATCCACTAATGTATTTAAAGCGCCGGACATTCGCTTTTCGTTCTCTCAGTTTCGTAAATAACACCCGTAATTTGAGAAAGCAGTGAGTAGAACTCCCCTTGCAATGGTTGTTCGCGCGTGACCATGTGAGATCGTTTGGAGAGGGAGAGCTGACTCTCCACACTCTCGACCGTACTAGCGTACATAACCACTAGGTCGTGCAGTGGGGTGAAGTTTACTGCATCTTATATTGGTTGCCTAATTCTTCCCGTTGATGTTTAAGTCTGTAATTAATCAGTCTAATTTCTATGTTATTATTATTTGAATAGTTCAGAAAGGTATTACGAAATTGGTTATCACTTTGAGACACTAGAATTTATCATTTTACTGTTCTATATTGCTTGCGTACACATTGTTAATTGGTACATACTTCTTGCTCAAATAATCACTATTTGTTTTATAAAACAAGCCAATTATTACTTCCAGGTTTTCCATGGTGGTTTAGCTTCAATGGACTCATGAATTGAACTATTAAATTACTATAATATCCACAAAACCCCTCTCCAATTAGTTGTATTGACGTAACATATGTATATATGTGTGTACTTGTAGTTGTTATCTATTTGTAACTTCAAGGTTATAAAATGAAATAAATCGATTTTGTAAAGTTTGTTCCAATAATGATAATAATAGTAATTACTGTGGTAAAGGTTGTCAAAAGTTATAAATTCCAGTAATCACACTTAAAATATATCTTTTTCAGTTATAAATCCTTGTTTGTATGGACGTTTTTTTGTCTGTGAAATAAGTCTGTTGTTTCTGGTTTGATTTAAGCAAAATCGGTTTTTTTATGTAACTATATTTAGTAAACATCGTTATGATCGTTTGTTTTAGGTTTGTTTATCATATTGTTAGATGGCTGTATAAACTTTTTATTTTAATTTGAAATCTGTCATTGATGATGTTGGTTTGATTAGCAACTTTCATTTTTATTTAACATGTTTCTATGTGGGCTGGGATGTTGCTCGGGCAATAAAACCAGAACAGGTAGTTTTGTTAACAAGTCACTCTCCAACCCTTTAATATAGAGGTCTGATCCACAAGTCAGTAGAATAGCGTCCGGAGATGTCGTGTCTTATTAGCTAGTGACCAAACATAGGTTCGTACTCCATTTAGATTATTGGTTTGAAATCAAGGTTTTCTAACTCTTTCAGGTAGATTCTCTCTACTCATCAATTTGGTTGAATGTTATTGGCTGTAGAGGTAGACTGGAAGAAAACTAGGGGCAGCGAAATGAAAACATGAAGTCGTCAACTGTTGGACTGAACCATGTTGATGAGTGTAAACTATCTGGTTGTGGTTCACGTGATCGTCGCAACCAATGATTAGAGACCTTGAATGACTTTATTCAAAATCGTTTGGAATCGCTCAGGTGCATCAGTTCTTTGTCTTCTACCCCTAATTCTAAGATAATTAATTGTTCATAAGTTCTCTTGTGTTTTTAGATCACTAATTTATGTTTTTTTGTCGAATGGTATATTCGATGTGTAGTGTTTTCAATTAACTCGTATATTGTTACTACTTCTACTGTTGCGGGAATTGTGCTTAAAATCTCATTTGTTTTTGCAATAGGGGTATAGGAACTTGAACTGATATATTTAGGTATCAAGGTAAGCATTATCACTGACTGACTGATGTACATGTAGTTATTAACTTGACCATTGTATAGTCGACTGTCGGTTATAGTACGTTAATGTCGCATAAGTGTCTGAAAATGAAATAAGCTTTAAGTTAGAGCGAATAATCCCCTTTTAAAATTTCGATAGAACAATGATAAGGCGGAGTTGATCTGGGAAACATGCTGTGTTTACTCTATACATATGTTTATTTGTTTACTTGTACCTTCATTTCATTGATCTTTATTAATTTTCCTATAAAATGTGTTGACTTGTATACGTGTGACCAAATGGTTCGAAATGTATAAAGCAAATACTTCCTTTATTTTAGATCAACCTCGTCTTCTTATTGTTCTCTGAAACTTTAGTTGTTGATTAGCACAACGATCTTATATTTTTTTGTATGCCGTAAAATTATCTTTTCTTTTTCGTGTCTTATGTTCTATACATAATCACTTTTACGACCCCTAATACTCTTACTATTTCTATTACTTTAAACTTAGTATTTCATATCCCCAATCATAGGGAAAATCACCAATTAATTTTTATCAATATTCATAATAACTGAATTCTAATTAACCTTAACAGTAAGAATCAAGTTTACAGTTTTGTATTCAGTACACATCCAATTATGGTTTAAAGCTACTTAATTACAATAAGTTACTGTGTTTATAACGGTTATAGCGATTTCGTTCATTATTGATTTACTATGTGGGGCTACACATAATCTCAAGGTTAACACAGTTTATTATTATATATATATGGTGTTATGAATAAGTATGCTTTTTTCTGTTTTCATCAATCAACCAACTCTAAAGACCTGTTTTGTTGCAAATTTCAACTATATATAAGTATGTATCCATTGTGATCGTTAATCGATCAATGGTGATCTAATATTGATCGGTTCAGGATTTACGTTAGAAATCAACAATCTTATTATTATTATTCGTATTATTGGTTAAACATCATTATTAATCTTCCCTATACATGATTCATTCACTTTGCATTCTTCTCTCCTTATTACGTCTTATTTATTTATCTCTCTGTCACCCCTTACTTACTTACTTACTTACTTACTTACTTACTTACCTACTTACTTACTTACTTACTTACTTACTTACTTACTTACTTACTTACTTACTTACTTACTTACTTACTTACTTACTTACTTACTTACTTACTTACTTACTTACTTACTTACTTACTTACTTACTTACTTACTTACTTACTTACTTACTTACTTACTTACTTACTTACTTACTTACTTACTTACTTACTTACTTACTTACTTACTTACTTACTTACTTACTTACTTACTTACTTACTTACTTACTTACTTACTTACTTACTTACTTACTTACTTACTTACTTACTTACTTACTTACTTACTTACTTACTTACTTACTTACTTACTTACTTACTTACTTACTTACTTACTTACTTACTTACTTACTTACTTACTTACTTACTTACTTACTTACTTACTTACTTACTTACTTACTTACTTACTTACTTACTTACTTACTTACTTACTTACTTACTTACTTACTTACTTACTTACTTACTTACTTACTTACTTACTTACTTACTTACTTACTTACTTACTTACTTACTTACTTACTTACTTACTTACTTACTTACTTACTTACTTACTTACTTACTTACTTACTTACTTACTTACTTACTTACTTACTTACTTACTTACTTACTTACTTACTTACTTACTTACTTACTTACTTACTTACTTACTTACTTACTTACTTACTTACTTACTTACTTACTTACTTACTTACTTACGCCTGTTACTCCCAATGGAGCATAGGCCGCCGACCAGCATTCTCCAACCCACTCTGTATTGGGCTTTCTTTTCTAGTTCCATCCAATTCTTGTTCATTTTTATCATATCTATTTCCATTTCTCGACGTAATGTATTCTTTGGTCTTCCTCTCCTCCTTCGGCCTTGAGGATTCCATGTGAGGGCTTGTCTTGTGACGCAGTTCGGTGCTTTCCTCAATGTGCGTCCTATCCATTTCCAGTGCTTCTTCCTGATTTGTTCCTCCACTGGGATCTTATTTGTTCTCTCCGCCTGGAGTCCCTTTCGGGGTCTACTTCCGGTCCCAAGCCCGGATAAAGGAGGAGGGTTGGGTATGGGGTTAGCGACCCCATCCCGTAGAAAACTAACTCGCTAAAAAACGCTGTCACCCCTACTTGACCCATATTTATTCTGATCACAGATCTTAAAATTTCACTTAACATATATGCAGATTGAAGTTCACATTCTATATGAGTCATTTCAACATGAACAATTTTTGTTGTATTTTGTTGATCACAATGCTAAATTCACATGCTTTAAACGATGTACTTTACCCTTAACCTGGCCATTTTTCGGATTATTAATTTGGATATACATGAATTGTAGGAACCTGAAGAGAATTTATCGAAAAGAATATTCTTCGTTCAAATACTAGTCTTTTAATCTTCATAAACTTATACTCAATTCTGTATTGTTAATATGACATATATGTATACTCATGTACATGGTTGATCTCATTTATTATTATTATTACGATCATTATTATTACTATTATTATTATTACTACTACTATTATTATTATTACTATTATTATTATTATTATTATTATTACTGCTACTATTATTATTATTACTATTATTATTATTATTATTATTATTATTATTATTATTATTATTATTATTATTATTATTAATGTAAAATATATAAATATCGAATATTTGAGACTGTTTATCTATTTCATTGTCAATTATTATGCCATTATAAAATTTAGTCACATTTAGTTTTAATGTATAATAAATTGAAAGTATTTTAGGATTCAATGAACACCTTGATAGATGGCATGACAAATGATACTGTTATTCTTTACTTGTCATCCAGAAAAAAAATATATATATATATATATATATATATATATATATATACATAGCAACCTTCGATAGACACTGCACGATCCCCCTCATTGAAGCATTAAAAAAAAAGAAATTACTTAGAAACAAAATGAAATGCATCATAATTGACTAAAATATAATTTAAAAATTTAAGTCACATAAAGTATACAAATCTAATAACATTTAAGTAGTACCATTATATAAATGACAAGTATCTAATCATTTTCATTGACTATTATAATAATCATATAGAATAAGTAAGCTAAATACTTGAAATTTAATACCAATCTACTTCAAATACATCTATGATGTGTTCCATTTTGATCTTCCTTTTTTTTTGCTCGAAAATAATCATGTTATAATGTAGACTGTAAATGATTTAAACAAACAAAATAAATTCTGATTAATCGATAAATGATATGGAATGATACATCGTATCGTGATCGAATGATCGCTACTCAAGAAATCGAACCATCAACGTAAACCTTTGAATGATTTGAAATCAAAATACAAGACCAAGTGATGAAAGCTCTGTTCAACGATCGACTTTCATATATTGTGAATCATAGTAGCGATAAACTAGTATAGTACTGAGAAAGTTGTAGTTGATTATGTTAAACTTAATAATTCTTCAATTGTTATTCTTTAGACTTTATGTAAATTAGTATTCTTAAATCTTCACCTTAAACGTTTAACCCTAAGGTAAACTTTAGTTTAATGGTACTGTATTTTGATGTTAGTTCGTAATAAAGCTTGTAATCTGAAACCTCCTAATTGTGATCCTAGCTAACAAAAAAAACATTGCGGATACTCCTTGAAAGATCTATTTGATTTCTGAAGACAAATTCATATACAATTGTTTATTCGTAATTTATAGAATACTTAATTAAGTTCATTAAAAATGTTAAATTTGTCTACAATGTGTCATATTATTGTCATTATTGTTTTCTTTTTCATAACTTATCTATTTATAACAGTTGTTCTCTAACTGGTTCATCCATTTACTGTTTCTTATAACCACCGACTGCCCCGATGTGTGATGTTTCATGGTGTAAGAGTAGGACGGAGGAAATCTAGAGGCAAACAGATCAAAACATGAGAAATCCATAAAGTCACTGACATGTGGACTGAGCCATGTTGGTAGGTGTAGACTACCTGGTTGGAATCCTCGAGACAATAACAACCGATGGTTAGAGACATTGAATGATATGGCTCAAAATCTTTTGCAATGGTTCACGTGTATTCACTCTTTGTGTTCTCCCAAATTCTAATCTTCTGAATGCTTTATATCCCTTTGTTCTCCTTCCTAATTCATTTCACTGTATTATACTCCTTGAATAACATCTTCAAATCCTAATGTTTCCGATTACTGCTTATACTCTTACTACCTCTACCACTACGGGATTTGAATCTACAACTGAATCTCTGTGATAATGTAGTATGGCAACTCGAACTGATGATCTTCACATTAATTATGAATGATTAGTAGATATCTATTTAAAAAAATAATCATAGAACTACACCTAATTTACCTTAACTCTTTCAATATTGTATCCAGTGAATTCTATACAATGTAAAATACTAATGACCTTCTTTAATCAAATTCATATTTATCTTTAAATTATTAAGTTTTTCTTTTGATATTGTTATGTTTATTTTAATTTTCAATTCATTTCATAGAATATACTATGTGATATGTCTGGATCATTTTTGTCACGTCAATGTTTTTGCAAAATTCTTGCTATCGGTGGATCTGTAAGTTTTCTTATATCATATTCTATTTATTTGTAGATTAATTGAATACATATTTGACCGATAGTTAATTTAATGCTTTTTACTTGTATTAAGATAGATAACTTTACTGTATACTAATTAAACATTGCCTTTTTTTAAGAAATGATAGATGATGGCTAGCATGGGATACAAGATTCAGGTTTCGTCCTTACTTTGGTACTCGTCAGTTATGAGTATCTGCACCTCAGAATTTATATTTGCCCCGGGACTCGAGCTAAGTACCATTTGCTTCTTGAATTCCACTGCTTATAATGCTTATGACTTTTGGAATCGGATACATATCTAAGTCATTTTCAGACGAATATTAAGCATCGATACAGTGAATAAATGATGGGAGTGGTTTTATTTTACTAACAGATTGTAGTAAGTTATGCCAGAGTCTGTAAAATTCACCGGTAAAGTAATCCATATTCAGAGAAGGTTTAGAATAAGATTGTTTCACTAATTGACAAAAAGTTATGGTTGCTTTAATTAGGAGTATTTGCATACTGAATTGTTTCATTGGATGTGGAAGATAGTTTATTAAGTATTCTTGTAAGTATAAGCATTTTTTGATTTCAAAACTATATCGAGTCTTATTTTTACCCATGATTACATTTTTTAAAAATACAGGATAATAAATCTTACTCATGGAAACCGTATTACATGCGCGTATCTGGTGCTGAAGTGAGATTTATCAAAGCATCTTGGGCCTTTCATGGATCTGGACGAACAACCAAAGTAAGTGACTGATTCTATTCTATTCAGTGTTTATTTTTTCTTTTCTGATCAAGAATAAATTGATTTTAATCAGTAAGCTTGTTCTGTATGTTTTTCTTAACTAATGTCGATTTGTTGTCGACAGTCAATGTTTTGAGGTCGATCTCAAATCGTCTTTTTTCTTAGTTCTTAATGTATTACTTCTTTAACTTGAAGGCCATATTACTGGAGACGTAAATCTGTGTGGTTGCGTCTGCTATTATTAGGATCGAAATGTTCTAACTCCTTTCTTCCGTTGTGAGATACCATTTATGATAATGCCAGTTGTCTGAAGGAAATACTTTTTTTTAATATCATTTCAGTACAGTTAGCAGTAAGATTTCACCTGAGAAACTTAAATTTATGGCTTTTAGTCTCATTGTACTTCAACCTAACCCGCCTAGCCTAGTAGAACCTCGTGAAACAAATCTGGCAGTCAATATAACTCTCTTGGTACATTATAATAGGTAAACCTCAACATCATTTCAAAGTGTCAGCTACTGTCAAGATTTATAGTTGACTTCATCTGGACAACTGTCGAATACTAACTCAGGGGTTGGAAATTGTAATTTACTCACTGTAACTCTCAAGTAGAATTGTGATTTGAACACTATTAAGCTGCTCCACACTAGAATGGATATTTGTTAAAGACTCTTATGTTTCTATTATTTGAATTAATCCATGTATTATTGTAATATACAGATTGAATAATTTTCTAAGCTAATATTCTCGATTTATTGTGTATTTGGTTGTAGAATGTGTTGCTATATCAAACTGATCCATTAGGTATTGTGTGGGTGATAACATATTGTGATTAGTTGTTTTCCTTATTTATTTATTTGAATACATAAATATTGGTACAAGAGGCCACCAATAATAATGAGAATGGGAAGAGACAAAAGATGTAAGGTGCGTGTAAAATAAAAAAAGAACGATAACGACCACAAATTAGTGTATGGTAGTGAAATAGTAATAATAATGGAGGAAACAGGAAGATACAACCAGAAAGAATTCTTTCAGTTAAAGATGGTTACGGTAGGATCGCCACTGACTTCTATTGTGAACCATATCTGATAACGTCTCTAGCCACTGTGTTGTACCATCTCTCGAACCCCAACCAGGGAGTTGTGAAGGTCCTAGACACAGGCTGATAGATAGTCCATTAAGTATTTGATGTTTCATCTATATATTTCTTTATCCCTACTCTTATACTTACTTGATTTTGGCGAATACATGTACTGGTCAGTAGAACCACTTGTTCTTGATTCGAGCCCCTGGTATAATAGTGCTGATTGAGCATCTAGTATAGAGTACGTGAATCGTTTACACATATAAATCGTTCATTACTCATTATATGGAATTTAATGTATCATGTAGTGTCTGTTATTATGTTAAGCTCAAATACCTTGTTCTAACTTTCGGACAGCCCATTCTATTCATTCTACTTGAGTCACATTCTAACCTTGTTAATTATTCGCTTATCAATCTTGACTGTTTTTATATGAGCGCGTAGGTGTGTGTTCACTTCTTGTCCCATTACTCATCACACGTCTGTAACTTATTTTTGTGTGCTTATAAATATTGATTAACGCTTGGTTAAATGGGAGTTGGCTTACCAGCCGTATCCACCGCGCGTCATTTTTGCTTCGCTTTCTTCTCTTCGCATCGTTCCCCGTTCGTTTGTCTGATCAACGATTATACAAAATATATGCATTCAAAAGTCAATTCTCATTATTTGACTTATTTAATTCCGTTATTAACTAAGGTGATTTAAGTCGATGATTATATACGAGGATATATATTTCAATAACAATCATTCATGCAATCTACTTGGAGTCAGATCTCGGGCCACTAAAGTGGAGAGCCTTTCGACAACATCGTCCGATCTAAATGACGACAAAACAAATGGCCCCACAAAAATTCTGTGAAAGTTAAAGTAACTTCCATAAAAATTCCATATAGGATTTTCATTATCTATGAGTTATATCTTGTATTTTCCTATTTATCGATCATATTATCTTTTTGTAAAACAAATTATATCGTTGTTTTAAATGATTCTGATTGAAATTCTACCACTCATTAATCTTATCACATAGAAGACTGTATATAATAATAATAATAATAATAATAATAATAATAATAATAATAATAATAATAATAATAATGTGTACCCCCTTGACATTAGAGATATTGAGAAAGAGGTCATAATATATATATATATATTCAGTTTAATTATGCAAAAACCTTGTAACCTGTTACATTGGTTAATCTATTCATTTATTGAATTTAATTATGTCATACTATTCCTCTAGACTACAAATGATTGTTTTGTTTTTAATACAAAACTGAAAGAAAGAAAAAAGAAATTTACTTATGTTTATCAATATAGTGCTTTGTTTGTAAATGTAATATGAGTATGTGGTGAGTAATCAGTCATTAGTTATTATTCAATGTTCCTACTGTCTGTATGAATTTAGTGCTGTAAATAAATATTTCATTTCAATGGTTAAGATAATGAGTCGCTCAATTTCGTGGATTAGTTGAAGTTAGACATTAACACCGTTGGATGCCGGCTCAGTGGTCCTGGGTTCGAATCTCGCATTGGATGAGGTCGTGGGTGCACACTTTTGAGGAGTCCCATTTTGGGACGAAACGGTCGTCCAGTGCTTCCAGGTTTTCCATGGTGGTCTAGTTTCAATCAACTCATGAATTCATCTATTGAATTACTACAATCTCCACAAAACCCCTTCTGAGAATATTTCATTGGTTAAATTAATATGATTAGTTTAAGTTGATTTTATAGTTCAGTACATGCCTCTCTTCAAGGTCGTGATCTTTCACCATACCAATGATGCAATAACCGCAGAATCCTGGTGTGTGTTATTGCTTTGTAAGCTTTTTATATTTCACGGTGTTTAATAAGAAGACAAATAGAGTAAACAGGATTTTCCTTGAATTATCATACTGTATTGTCATAATAAAAAAAGAAAAGAAAAGAATTCGCTGAAGAAATAGCTCTAAGAATTCCATCCTTACTAAATATCTGATCCGACCTAACTAAACTTCAGTGGTTTTTTCTTTAAATGTTTTCATTTTATTAAGTGTTCACTTATTTCTGATTGATGATGCACAACAAAGTTGATGTTCGACTGTGTTCGTTTTTAAATTTCGCTTTAATGTTTTTTTTAGTGGAATTGTATTTCATCTCAACAACACGGACTAATGAGTGTATATAGAGGGTTTATTTATTTAAACGCATAAACATTGGGTACAATGAGGCACCAATTAGATATGCGTCACATAAATCATTTGATTTCTGTGAGGGCTAAATTACTATCCGGGTGCCTAAACCGAAGCAGGTGGTTTTCTGAGAAGCTCACACCCGGAACCTTCAACTTAAATGTCTGATCCTTAAGGAAGTGGAGCAACGTAAGGAGACGCAGTCCCATGATAGCCGGTGACCAATAATTGGTTCATACGGCATTTATTCCTTCAGGATCCTGGATCCCATGTGCACCATTGGTTTGGGAACAGTGTTTCCCAAATCCCCTAGATGGACTCTCCGTGTCCACCAACCCGGTTAAAGCGCTGGAAATTCTCTTTTCTCAAATTCGTAAACAACACTCGTGATGAGAAAAGGTAGTGAGTAGAATTTTCCTGGCAGTGGTTGTGTGCATGTGATGAAAATCCTAAATCTATTTTCTAATCTTAACTTTCAACTGTAAATCATAATTCCAATTCCTCGCATTGTTTCATAAACCTCATTTAGCCCTAGTAAGTAGATGTGCATTCTCAAGGTCATTTTAGTGTCACACAAAGGTCGTCCATAAATTATAGTCTAACCAACTAAACACGAGTTCTAATAGTTCACACAGATCTATACACACAATATCAGCGACCGAATGTAAGAAACTATGACACCAGTTCACTGTGAATTTTACACCAAGTGCTAAACTGCCAGATATATATTTATTTATTAGTCTAATTATGCAATCAACGTAACTTACCATTTTCTTGACACTATTGTACTACGTGAATCATGTGAATTCATGTTAATCCGTTCAACATGTTCAACTTATCCTATTTTAAGTGGTAATTATTCAACAAATCCATCAAGTTTATTCTATGTATATCATATTTTAAAGGTTACACACATATGCACATGTGTGTGTATGTGTTTATCTATTTGTCAGTGTTCATTTAATCTTAATTCTGAGTACAATATTTTACTATGTGATACACATTATTATTCATTTGTTAATGATCAGAATTGATAATTACCAAGTTCAGTGCTTTTGTTTTTTATTTATTGTAAACCAATCGATCTGTTTGTACGTGTTGCTCATATGTCCGCTCACCCCCACCCCCACCCTCACCGTTATACACACACACACACACACCTTCACTCTGAGATAAATAAATAAACAAACAGTTCTATGTGAATAATTTTCGATAACCTTTGTTTACCAAGAATGGTTTCCATCGTATTCTCTAAAACACTGTGTGCATATATAAATATATATGTCAACAGAGTAATGAATTTGGAATGATATTGCGTAATATTTGTTTTTTTTTTCATTATTGCGTCTAAGTGTTCGTATAAGTTGATTGTTTATATAATAACTAGTAATTATCTCAATTTTAGTGTTGATTTAGTACAAATGTCTGTTTTCTTTTCTCTTTTTGTTTTTTTTCTTGTTTTCAGTTTTATTTTCGTGTAGTGGTTTTCAAATCTTTGTCTATCTTATATCTTATTAACTGTATTGGTATCATTGCCAAAGTTGAACTTGATAGTTGCTAATCAATATATATTTTTTTATATCCTAATGAATAGAAAAATTATATTTCTAACGTTTCGTGACTTAATGTAAGCCACTTCTTCAAAGTAAATAAATTAACACAAGTCTCATACAAGGATGAAACAGCTGTCCAATGCTTACAGGTTTTCAATAGTGGTCTAACTTAGATCAACTCGTGAATTCAACTGTGGTAATTGAAATTCGGTTATTTATTTACTCTGAAGAAGTGGCTTACATTAAATCACGAAATATCAGAAATATAATTGTTCTTCTCGTTAGGATATAAAAATGATATATATTTATTATTGTGAGGTTTAATTGGTATAATTTCAAATCAATCAACTCTAGATTAAAAAAAGAAACTCGTTCATGTAGATCTCATTCGGTATTAAACTATATTGAGCACTAAATAATCATCAATTGATTTCGTCTAATTCTTGTAAAGGCTTATCCAAAGTACATTGCTCATATAAATTAAGGAATATGATGTAATACTGCCTAGCAAAGTTTACTACTGTGTTACGCAATCTCTAATATGATCAATAGTTCAATTTATCACTATCCGTTATCAAATAAAAATTAGATATTAATGTTGGTATTTTCTATTATTATTATTATTATTATTATTATGTAGAACAAATAAAATCTATTAGAATCAGGTAACAAAAGATAACGTTTGCTACCGAAATGGATGGTAAAAGTATTTGAATGATGTTGTTCAGTTAAGAATACAATCAAGGAAAACTTTCAGTTAAGCTTGTTCTTATCACTTATTTAAAAATGAACTGTAACATGACTACTACTCGGTTCTATTATAAACCATATTTGATAACATCCTGGGTCACTAAATCACACCATGTTTAGGACACTGATCAGGGAGTTGTGATGGTTCAGCATATGTTAGTCTGATAAAGCTTTCTTTCATATCCACAGCGTCATGTCATAAAATGACTATCTGTAATCTTCTTCCATCCAGTACCCAGTGTTTACAACTAATGCGCAATATATTAACCAAAAGAATTACATTTGTTAAACTTGACTAAGGCCACAGAAATAATAACTGACTTATCGTCACTGTGTCCAAGCTCATATTGTCTGACATCGGTTTTACTAACATGGCACCAACATAAGTTGTGATCAATCCTCCGAAAACGACTATGGAATATACATAGTTGCTGAGCATATATATATATATATATATAATTTATTGTGAAATATGTGCAACTTGGTTATAAATTTGGATTGGATCACTATTGATATATAGATGGTTTTTTTTTGTCAAGCCGAAAAAAATAAGCTCATAACAATTGATAGGATTGTAAAACAATGTTTTGAATATAAATTTATTTGTTTACTGAAATCTACTTGTGTAGAGATTGTTCGATCGATCAGTCCAAATCAACATAGAATCTAGTATATTTGTAAATTGGTTCAAGCTGTCACACTAGATCATCATAGCCCGATAGAAGAATGATAGAAGTAATAACACTGTTATTGATAGTAGAAAAGATGAAGCATACACATTATAGTTCGGGAAGAAAACGCAATTCCATCGAATTAAAATATAAGATAACTTTGAACCAAAGGGTCAAAGGGGGGGGGTAAACAAAGAGTATTTTTTGTTGTTGAAGAAAATATGTATTTGCTCTAATGCGATCGATTCTGAGTTATTCCATACAACATTCCCAACTGTTCGTTTCTACGCGAATAAGATAATCTACATGTAGACTGTGATAATTATTTAGTTGAAGCATTTAAAACTGTAATACAATGTTATATAATCCTATGTAGATTATAATGTTAGTTGCATAGAACCTATCTTACTTCATTCTAGTTTGTATTACTTTGATAGAGATAAAAAAAGAAGACTATGAAATGAGACTGAACATATATTGTGGACCATTAAATTAACCGGTACATATTTTGTTATGGAAATATTTACTAGTAACTGAGAATTAATCTCGACTTTTAAAATATCGTCGAATAAGCAAACTTTTCTTATTAGATTTGATTTGAAAAAGACAAATTCTGAATGACATCAGCTCTTTCTCCTTTTATGCAACAGAATGTTTGTAGAAACAGTTTATTTTTTTCATGTGTTTAAATTATGGACTGTTATTAGTTTGATCATTACCGTTGAAAACTTTGACACATTGGATGGTTGTATCATCCTAATATTGGGCTCCTCAACAATGTTCATGCATGTATTGGATTCAAAATCTTCGGTTTCTCATATGTACGTTTATCCTATAAACAACTGTGTCAGTATACAACATTAGTAATATTTAACTTTAGTCAATCCACAATGTGTTTTTTTTTTTTGCCAAAAGCTTATGGGTTAATGACAATATCAAAGCAAATCACTCACTATCTACTTGTCGAATATAGACCGATCAAATGTTTTGTCTTTAATCTCAACAGTGAGAAAACTCACACAATTACATAAAGATATAGTTTTTTTCATTTAATTGTTAAATATCACTATCATTCTGCCTCATATTCATCTAAATTATTAATAAATATTTCTACTATCAGAAGGGGTTTTGTGAAGATTTTAGAAATTTCACTATTTGAAATCATGATTCAATTGAAGCTAGACCACCATGAAAAACCTGGAAGCGCCCACACGCGAGACTGATGGGTCCTGGGTTCGAATCTCGCGTGGGGCGGGATCGTGGATACACACTGCTGAGGCGTCCCATACTAGGACGAAACAGCCGTCCAGTGTTTCCAGATCTTCCATGATGGTCTTACTTCAATTGACTCATGATTTCCACCAGTGAAATATTTCTATGGTTAGTTGTATATTCTTCTGTTTGTAACTACCATTTATTATATCCTGAACAAGTAACATTATTTTCTTTTCATTTTGTAAACAATAGACTTCTAAAAATAAAAATGATATTATCTATCCAAGAAATAACAGTTTGGGTAATCTTCGTGATAATTATAGTTCTCGGGGAACACTGGATACCTCTAAATCTCATGATGATTTAAATGATGATTCTATTACATATTATTATCCTACATACAATGCCGATATGGATTGTTCAAACAATACTATTAATGTTAATAAATCATTTAGCTGTAATGCATCGTGTTTAATTCTTCCAATACCCGGTCTTATTTGGTGTTCAGAACAATTGCCTGCCAATTTCCCTAATTGGTTACCTCTTGGTTGTAATTCAAATCATAATAGTAACAGTACTCAAACATTAACTTCACGAATAACCAATGGTATTAATAACAATAATACTAGTGGAATAAATCCTGATTGGATGGATCCTCATGTTTCTGGTCTATCTCAACAAATTTTATCAGATTTCAATGATTGTTATAAGTCGAATTCAATAGATTTCCAAAGTAATACTACTACTACTAATAATAATAATAATAATAATGTAAATATGAATGATGAAGTTAGTAGTCGGTCGAAGTTTCGTTGTTTTCGTTTCGCTCATTTAACAGCTGGTGTCGAATTATTATTTGTATTTCCAGATGAGAATGCAGCAATGACTTGTTTAAAAATGTGTCAGGTAATAATGGTCTTTTGTTGTTGTTATTGATTATATATATATATATATATATATATATATATATATATATATTTATATATATATATATATATACCTTCACAGCTCACTAATTTGTGTTTTAATATGTATCATCTTGTGTAAATCTCCCGTTGAGATGCTGTACTATTTCGTTAAAAAATCTCAATTGAATATGAATAATGATCAATAAAATCAGATATAGAGTTTAATTGTTTACTTCACAGATTGTTTCTAGTGATGTATCAATTGAGAGCCAGGAAGCACTAGACGGCTTTTTCCTCCTAGTATAGGACTTCTTAGCAGTGCTCACCAATGACCCCGTTTGATATGGCCAGAGCTTAACGTTTAAAACGCGTGGGTTTACATTTGTAACCTTACTCGTTTGGTCATCTTGCGTAACCATTATCTAATGCCATTTTTGAGTAACTGCCTCCCATCCGACCTGCTTTAACTACTTTAATTAAAAGTCTATGCATTACTCTTTTCAAAATTAGTTACTAGTGAGCACACGATGATCATTACGATAAGGGGTTAGTGGTGGTTCTTGAGTTTCATTATTTAGATCACAGCGTGATCTTTCACAACTAGTTAAATCCAGGAGACACTTATCAGTATTCCAAACCCTAGCCATAGCAAAGGATTTGTGGAGCAAGTTGAGTCTTAATTTCAATTTGATGTGCTTTTATACAGATTCGTGACGGTTGAAACACTGGTCAGTCATTACACTATTTGATGATAGTCTTACATAATGTTTAATGATTCTCATTTAATTGTGTATCTGTTGTTCATATGAATTTGCAAACACCATATACAAAAGTGGCAACCTAATCGATTGATTATGGGGCACATGATCTGGATCGTAACAATGGGGTGATGGCTTCGTGATTAAGGCATTCAACTTCTAACCACTAAGTCACGAGTTCGGACGCTGTTCCGCTTGCTTCTATTTAGGCAGGCAGATCGTATCACTAACCGCCACATTTATTGTTTATCTCAAAGCCAAGTGCACGAATCCGTATCTGGTAACTGAGCTAGTGTTGGGGATACTAGATACACAGAAATCACCTGATAAAAGTCTGGTGTTTTTAATTTTATCTTGGAAATTTAATTTTTTCATTTTCGCTCCAAAAGCGCCCACATTTACCTTCAATTTGTATTTCCCACTTGGAAGGACCTTAAATGTCATTAGTTTGTTTCCTCTTTTGGTACACGTTTTTTTGATGTTTCCCAAAAACATTTTTGTACTGTATATATACTCATGAGTTGTATGGTTGTTCGTTTGTACTTCCGACTACTTGTGGAATACAGATTTCCCTCGGTTGAATCTGGTAATTTTCCTCTAACTACTAATACTGGGGCGTAGTGAAATAGCTTGGCTTGTTCTGTTGTTGTGTTGATAACTTTCGATCCGTTAGCCAGTTTTAGATGATATCGTCATCTTTTCAAACGTAACAGCTAATACTAAAATATATCATTATAGTTTAAAGGTAATAACTAGTAAACAGTTGTCAATCAATTAGTAAACTAAAAACTCTATGTGACACTATCGTACAAATTCAATTCTAAGGTGTAGTAAGGATACAATGATGTATATCTACCGAGAATTTTAAAAATCATTTATCATGAACAGTTGTCAGTCTTGAATCATGTTAGCTCAATTCAATTATCTGCCATTGAACGTTATCATCTCTCTTAAATATATATATGTAAAAGAATAATACTGTTACAAGTACACGTTTTATTTAGTCAACTTTTTGATTGCGTGAACTGATTGGAGTTAGACCATTGTTGGCAACTTGGAAACATTAGACGGTCGTTTCGTTCTCGTCCATGGAAGTTTTCAAACATTTGAAATAGAAAAATTTATCAATGTTCATATTTCCTTTTTTTCTTTGTCACTATCTTCTCAGCTTTCTGGTGGACGTGACTATGATTGTGTTGTTGAACAGTTAGATTATCGTAATGCATGTAAGTTGTTCATGTAATGATTTTTCAGTAATTTTCATTTTCTGATTGATGATTCAAATGATTGTAAGATTGATAAAAAATATGTGTAGTAGCCAAAGTTGTTATATAACACTAACTCGACAAGAGAAAATTAATATGATCAGTAGGTGGATACAGAGGATCCATCTAGGGGAGTTGTGAAACCCTGATTCAAAACCAGTGGTGCACATGGCCTCCAGTATTCTGAGGGAACAAACGGCGTTTGAACCTGTTGCTGGACACTGGCTACCATGGGACTGCATCTCCTAACGTTGCTCCATTGTCTTGTGGATCAGACCTTTAAATTAAAGGCTCCGGGTATGGCCCCCTAAGAATACTACCTGCTTCGGTCTGGGCACCCGGGTAGTACTCTAATCCATCACACAAATCGAATGACTTGTGTGGCGCATATTTGTTTGGTGCCTCTTTGTACTAATACTTATGTGTTTGAACAACGAATAAATAATAATATGATCAGTGACAAAAGAGTTGAATTAATGTAGAAAGATTAATTAATGAGAATGTTTTTCAAGACGAGAGAACGACAATGTATATATAAAGAAATAGTAAAACTAGATCTTTTAGTATGATAAAGAATGAATTTATATGTACCGTTGTAATCGATTATGAATCGTGTTTTGTTGTCTTCAATCACTGGCCGATGTTATTATGTAGACCTCAACAAGATAATGTACACTTACCAACACGACAGTCAGCGACTTCATGAACTGATGCCATGCCTTTATGTGGGCGCCTATAGCTATCTTCCATCTTATATCTCAGTTGGTGATGATTCGCAAAAACAGTTACCGACTTTTCATCTTTATCTAGTGCCATAATTCTTGTCTTACTATTTCGCCCTTTGTTGCTGTACAATGCCTGTGCGATACCTGGTAGACATTTATGAATAAATACTCACAAGCCAAATATGAAATTTATTTCCATAGACCATTTCACGGTCATTAAGTAGTATAGAGACTGCCTGATGATCGTCATTTTCTCACTTAACTACTTCCTGACCGTTGTTGCTACCTTAACGTGGTGGTCGGGCTTGCCTATCGTGATAAAGCAACTGAGCTATACTGGCTGGAACAACCGTTCTCCAAGGTCCTACGATGCCAGACAGGTCGGTTGAAAAGCGATAAGACTAAAAGCAACAAAACCAAGGTCCGAAGGCGAAGTCGTACTGCTGACTGTACAGAAGTGTGACAGCAGTAAGGTGTTTCCTTCAGACAACCAGCATAACAGCGGTGCTGCCTTCCCACAAGGATGGGTGGGGTTAGAAAAGGTCGACCCTAAAAGTGCACACCTCGCCTTATCCCACGGATATCCGTCTCCGGCGGTAAGGTCTCATTAAGTACGGAGCTAACACAAAAATTACTCATAAAAAGGTCGTGTGTGACCGACCTCAAGCAGCTGTTCCTTGAGCACTGCGATCACGCTCTCAGGTTACTGTGACCACCTCTAATCCAATTTCCTTTTCAGGTACCTACAGAAGAATCCTTCCACGGTGTGGGCAACCGGGGAGTGACAACCGCCCTTATACCTCTAACAGCACTCAAGACCACTGTATTCATAGTTAACCTACCTCTTCAATTCCTATTATTTCTCCTACATCGACATTCAACCCTAAACTTTCTCTTTTGCCTTCCTCCTCAAGTGTCGTCATAGCCAACGATTCTAGTGCGCAAAACACTGTCCCAGGTCTACTGAAACCTCGCTCCAATCTACACATTGGACCATTCAACGTACGCACACTATGTCAAATCGGTCAGCAGACTTCCTTGGCTAAAACCCTATAATCTCGTACCATTGATGTATGCTGTGTCTCCAAAACACGCATACAGGATCCTAGTGTGGTCATTCACTTGACCTCACCTCGGCGAAACGGAGAGCCGACGAGATACACCCTCCGTGTATCTGGCGACCCGATGGCTAGTTCTCGTGGACTGGCAGGGGTAGGCATAGCACTAAACATGAGGGCGGAACAAGCACTGTTAGAGTGGATCCCCGTTAACAGTCGTCTATGCGCTGTTCGGCTAAACGACTCGGTAAGAACTCGGAAGGATAGGGACACACGTCGTTGCCTTTTCGTCGTTTCTGCCTACGCTCTCACTGACTGCAGTTCGGATGAAGTGAAAGATGAATTTTACAGAAAGCTGTCTGAACTTCTTCAGAAAGCTAAACGTTCAGACATAGTACTCGTAGGAGGTGACTTTAATGCCCAGGTAGGTAGCTTAAACAAAACAGAAAGACATTTAGGTGGGTATTTTAGTATTCCAGCACAGCGAACAGATAATGGTGATCGTCTGCTGCAACTGTGCTCAGACAATCGTTTATTTTTAGCAAACACAAATTTTAATCATAAGGAGAGACATCGTGTAACATGGCGACTCCCTGCACCAAACCAACGATGGACTCAAATAGACCATATTGCCATCAGTCATCGTTGGAGAGGGTCAATAGAAGATTGTCGCTCATTCTGGAGTACCTGCTTGGACTCCGACCATGCCTTAATACGAGCACACATCTGCTTGCGCCTCACTGGACGCAAAAGAGCCACACAAAAAAGACTCATTAGAACCGAATTGAGTAATGAGAAAGCCAAAAGTAGGTTCCAGGAGCAACTGAGGTTCCACTTAGGTAGTTCTGAAAACAAGGCTGACCCAGATGTATCTTGGACATATATACAAACAGCTGTGGAAACAGCAGTGACATCTACCAGTGATTTAAACCACAGGGTTACAAAGAACCAATGGATTTCTTCAAGGTCTATTGCACTGATGGATAATCGTAAACTCATCACATCAGGTTCTGAACACGATGAAGAGCGTGAAGAGATCAGATTTAGGTTAACCAAAAGTCTAAGGAACGATCGTGAGCAGTGGTGGGCAACGAAAGCAAAAGAGATGGAAAAGGCGACGGCTATAGGGAACACAAGACAATTCTACAGACTAATAAAAGAAACTAGAATTTATAAGTCAAGTGTAAGTCAGACTATTTCGGAAAAAGACGACACTCATCTGCTCCCAGTCCAGACGCTTAGAACGATGGGCGGAACACTTTAAGGAGCAGTTTAGCTGGCCTTCAGCCACTCTACAACTACCCTCTATTCCCAGACAGTGTGAATGGAACATTGAAGTAGGTCCCCCATCTCTAGCTGAAGTTCAAAAGGCTATAGCTAATCTGAAACGAGGAAGTGCAGCTGGTCCAGATGGATTGGCCCCAGAGGTCTTTTAGGATGGTGGTCTAGTTTTAGCGATTAGGTTGACTAATATTTTAGCTAAAATCTGGGAGTTAGACGTTATCCCATCAAACTGGTCACAATCACTTATCGTCCCAATATTTAAGAAAGGGTCAAAATCATCCTGTGACAACCACAGAGGGATTAGTTTAACTAATATAGTATCTAAAATACTAGCCTCGATAATTTTCGGACGCCTAACTAAGACTCGTGAACTGCAAACACATGAAAATCAGGCTGGCTTCAGACCCGGTCGTGGCTGCATCGACCACATATCCACCATTCGTCAGGTTCTAGAACACAAACATACTTATCGGCGTCCGACAATGGCGATATTCCTTGACTTAAAAGCAGCGTTTGACTCTATTGACCGAGAGGTTCTGTGGCAGTGTTATTGAAAGGCGTACCTCAGAAGTACATAAACCTTGTGAAAGCTCTTTACTCGAACACTACTAGTCGAGTGAGAGCTTATGGCGAACTGTCATCCACTTTTGCAACCTCATGTGGTGTCCGTCAAGGCTGTCCACTTTCTCCATTTTTGTTCAACTTCATCATAGATCTACTGATGGAAATAACGCTCTCATCGACTGAATTCTCGGGCGTCGATCTCCTACCATGAGGTCCACTTATTGACTTAGAATACGCAGATGACATAGTCCTGTTTGGTGAAGACGCTGATGAAATGCAGATTTTTTTGGTAGCACTGAGCAACAATGCTAGAATGTTTGGAATGCGCGTCTCTCCCTCTAAATACAAGTTGTTGCTTCAGGACTGGTCTGCGTCAACACCTGAACTAAGGATAGGGAGTGAAGTAGTCAAACGCGTTGACAACTTCACTTATCTTGGAAGTGTGATCAGCTCTAATGGGTTGGTGTCTGACGAAATCTCAGCACGGATTCGAAAAGCTCGTTTGGCCTTTGCCAACTTACATCATCTATGGCGAAGGCGAGATATCCGTCTATCAATTAAGGGACGAGTATACTGCGCGGCGGTTCGTTCCGTTCTACTATACGGCTGCGAAATTTGGCCTTTAAGAGTAGATAATACTCGTAAGTTACTAGTATTTGACCGTAGATGCCTTAGATATATTGCGGGTATGTGCTGGGATCACCGGGTAAGTAATAGTGAGGTTAGACGCAGGGTATTAGGGAATGATGGTAAATCAGTTGATGAGGTTATGAACCTTCATCGACTGAGATGGTTGGGCCACGTGTTGCGTATGCCTGAACACCGATTACCACGATGCGCAATGCTAACCGGTGTTGGGGATGGTTGGAAGAAAGTTAGGGGCGGCCAAACCAAAAGGTGGCATCAGTGCTTGAAGTCACTAACTTCTGGTCTGAGCCATGTTGGAAGATTCAGACTGCCTGGTTGGGGTCCGCGTGACTATCATAACCAATGGTTGGAGACTCTGTGTGACATGGCTCAGAATCGATCACAATGGCGTCGGTGTATACACTCTCTGTCTTCCTTTAAACTAAGAGATTAAAATCCCTTCAAATCTTTCTTTCTACCAACTAATTCTTTCTTTCCGTACTATTTCCTTTTACACACTCTTTCTTCTATATATTACCACCACTGAATTAACTACTTTTATGAATCCGGTGTTCATCTTGTTGTGCTAATGCGGTATGGCAACTTGGACCGATGCATATACGTGCCTGGTCCTACGTTGCAGCTGACTGACTGACTTAACTACTTCACCCCCTATGTTCATTCCAAGAGTCGACTCAGACTATTCCAACTGCATAATCAAAGTGACTTGTTTCTCTCTACCTCCTTCTGGATACCGAGTAATTTTGGATGCTTACTATAATATTAGTCAAATGATTTATCTTTGTTCATCAAAAGACCGTTAGCAACTGAGGTTCTTGCTAGTATCTCAGCCAACTTACCTGCTTAGAGAATGTCTTTGAGATTGAATCTCATGTGGCTTATCTTCAGTACACTACCGAAGTGTTTAACAGGTTATCTAACTAAGATCAATCTATAATATATAAACTATGAAAATTCAATAATTTTCACATACTGATCTCTTTATATTACTGATCATTTAATAATCTGAATGTTATCTGTTTTTTTTTTCTTTTTCTCCAAGCTACATTGACAGCATATCGTAAAAAATCTTCATCTAATCCATATGAATTATTTCTCCTCAAATTATCATCGTTATTATCTGAAATCCCAATGAAATTAAATCAAAGTTTTTCTCATGATTTTACAGTAAAAGGTAATAAATATCGTGTACCTCCTCTAGCAAACAACGATGATGATGATGATGATGTAGATAATGACTACACCGATAACAATAATACTGATGATTATGATAATTCAATACATAGAGATGTTTTTATTCAACCAGGTATTACAAATTTTATCAATACTTGTAGTCCTTTCATCACTACTTATGGACCATATTGTTTAATGAAAGATAAACGACGTCTACATCGCCGTTATGTTATTCATCAATCATCGATTGATTCAGATTATTCAAATGTTATAATTGATGGGGAAGATGTGAATTCAATGAAAAATTCAATAAAATGTAATAAATCTGATATTACCAATAAATTTCGGACACGAACTCGAGAGAAAATTGATTTAGGTTAGTAATTTTATTATTAAATCTAAGTTTGTTCTCGTTTGTTTGTTTGTTGTTGTTGTTGTGAAAACAGATATTAGTGTGTGATTTAGTTACAAATATAGTAGATGATCAACTCACCATTTCGGCCAGACCAAAACATGGCACAAATTCATGAAGTCACTGACAAGTTGACTAAGCTATGTCGGTAGGTGTAGACTACCTGGTTGGGATCCGCGAGACGATAGCAACCCATAGTTAGAGACCTTGAATGACATGGCTCAATATCGTTTGCAATGGCGTAGGTGCATCCACTTTTTGTGTTCTCCCAAATTCTAATTTTCTAAATTCTTCATATCCTTTATTTCCTTTCCAAATTTATTCCACTGGTATATACTCCTTGAATAACATCATCAAACCCTAGTGTTCCCCATTACTACTTATACTTTCACTACCTCTACCACTACGGGATTTGAATATATAACTGAATCTCTGTGCAAATGTTGTATGGCAACTTGAACTGATGTACGTACGTACGAAGTTCCACGTTTTTACTGACTGACTGAACACTATACTGAATGAAAACTTAAGTATTGTAAACCAAAATAATATTGTATGCAAAATCACACAATGCCTTTTAAAAATATAAAAATCATACATGAAATACATCATTTGTATATCTTCCTTGAGTTGTCCTTTACATAATTCATCATTATTTCAATCCTGTTGTTATTCTAATTGCCCTTCGTTTTCTTTCCTGTTCTCTTCATTTCAATGTTCTTTATTTTATATATTTATATAAACATATCAACATTTATACAAGGAGGTACCAATTATATATGCACTACACAAATCATCCGATTTCTGTGAGAGCTGAAATACTGTTCGGGTGTCTAAACTGAACCGGGTGGATTTCTTGCAGGGGCACTCCCCAAGCCTTTCACCTAGAGGTTTAATCCACAAGGCAGTGAAAGAGATGTAGTCCCATAGTAGCCGGTCACCAATAATAAGTTCAAACACCATTCGTTCCCTCAGAATCATGGAGCTTTTGTAAACTATTGATTTGAAATCAGAGTTTTCTAACTACCCTGTATAGGTCCTCGGTCATACCTATAAACTCGAATTAATCCACTACCGGACATTCGATTTTCGTCCTCTCAATTTCATAAACAACACTTGTGTTGCGAGAAGCCAATGAGTAGGACTTCTTTGACAGTGTCTTTATACACGTGGTCATATGAGAGCATTTCGAGCGGAAGAGCTTACTCTCCCCACCCCCGAACATATCAGGGCATTTGGGGGTACCAAACACATTCGTGAATTGATAGAGTTTAAAAGAATTTTTTGTAATAGTATTATAGTGGCTTCATATCTCTTTTTACTTTGGCATTTTCAAAAGTGCCCAGTAGGATCACTTTCTCTATTATACTGACTATTTTCTTACGTTTTTTCGAATAAAATTTTTAAATAATTCTCGACTTTTCTTATCTGTAGATGGTATTCGATCGGACAACACTGAGACAATCACAAACGATATCTCCAATAATAATAACAGTAGTAGTCAGACAACGACTGATATAACTCCTAGTAATATTAACAACAGCATTGACGATAAATCACATTCAACGAGTTTAATTCGTACAAATAAAATACTACGCGGATTCAAACAATGGCTTCAACGTCCTGTTGGTGTAAATAATAATAATATTAATAGCAATAATAATGCCAGTAGTACCAGTAATAGTATTAGTACTAATTGTCCCTCGGTTGGTTCAATTAATTTCTCAACTGCAAATAATCCAAGTAATACAATAAATAACGTTATCACCTCTACTACTGGTCATTTTAGTGGTAGCTGTGGAAGTACCACCACCAGCGGTGTAAATTATCATAATGTAAATAGTAATAACAATTGGGATATATCTTCTACCGTGGATGTTTCACATTCGGAATCTCCAAATAATGATCATAAATTCAGCTCACAAATGACAGGTATGTATATATATGTATGTAGATATACAGTTTGTGTGTGTGTACATATATACACGTTTTTATGTACACATACATAAGAACGGTGATTTTATTTACAATAATTTTATTAAACTTGCCATCTTGCTTTCCTTCCTAGTTTGTATGACTTACTGACTGTAGTTAGATCACTACTGAAAACCAGGAAACTGCATAGCTGTTTCATTCTAGTATTGGATTTTTCATCAATGCACATGTACGACCACACAAACGGGAATCGAACCCAGGTATCTCGTCCAAATTTTAAGTCTCTAAAACATGCAATAGTGTACATGTCTAACTTCACTTAATTCGCGATATCACACAAAATAATTTCCTCATACCCGATATGGTTGGACTTTGGTTAGTCGAAACCTCTTACTAGAACTCGTGGAATTACATCTAGAAATAAAAAATCACCAGTAAACATAGAATCAATTTTAGTATGCTGAGGGGGGGACCAGGTTTGTATAGATTGTTAACATTTATGGCAATGTTAAAGTATGGAGATTTTGTCTCTGTCTTTTCTCTAATCGTCGTCACACTAATACTATGGTGAACAGAACACAGGTGCGGACAATCGAATATCTTTAACAACAAATTACAGAACTAGTTAATAAAATCCAACAACCATCTATTAAATCGTTAATTTGCAAATTGTTCACCAATTGTCTCAAATGACTCAGAATCTCTTTGTTCTTGCATTTCCATACGAATTGCATTCTTTCTTGATTCTTTATTGTTCGATCTTCTCGTCTCTCTGCTGCCAGACATTCTGTTCAGTACTAACGTCATATACTACTTATGTCTACATAAGTAGCACACGCCACAATACTTGTAATCTACTATTTGGTCGTTGCTGAATTTTAGGCGCATTATGGTTGATCATTATTGAGAGCGTGCGCGAGACAGTGAGCGACACTAAGTGAATCATAAAACATTTATATTTGTTATTCAGAAATATAATAGACTATTTTCATGATTTATCAGTTAAAAATTATAGCAATACGAAAAAATTGAATTTGTTAATCTGTGGAGTCAGCTCTCCTGCTCGAAATGCTCTCATATGACCACGTGTATACAGACACTGTCAAGGAAGTCTCACTCACTGGCTTCTCTCACCACGAATGTTGTTTACGAAATTAAGAGAACGAAAAGCGAATATTTGGTCGGGGCCTAAATCGAGTTTGATAGGTATGACGGAGGATTCACATAGGGTAGTTGGAAAATCCTGATTCCAAACCATTAGTGCACATGGGCTAAAAGTGATTTAGAAGAAAAATATGAACTGCCAAATCAAAGCGTGGCACCATTCTTCTAAATTATTAAATTTTCGTTTTAGCCCAATGTTGGTAGCTACAAACTACTGACTGGTTTAAAGCTCTGAGTGACTAGCCTTGTAATCTGTCACAATTTATTTATTTATTTGAACACATAAATATTGGTACAAGAGGGCACCAAATGTATTTGCGCCACACATTTTATTTATGTGTGGGCTGTGATACTGCTCGGGTGCCCAGACCGAAGCAGGTGGTTTTCTTAGGGGGTCACACCCCGAGCCTTCGACCTAAAGGTCTAACCCACAAGGTAGTAGAGCATCATGAGGAGATGCAGTCCCATGGTAGCTGGTGACCAACGATTGTTTCGTACGCCATTTGTTCCTTCAGGATACTGGAGCCCATGTGCACCATTAGTTTGGATCCCGTTAAAGCGCCGGACATTCGCTTTTCGTACTCTCACTTTCGTAAACAACACCTGTGGTGCGAGAAGGCAGTGAGTAGGACTTCCCTGGCAGAGGCTATATACGCGTGGCCGTGTGAGAGCATTTCGAGAGGGAGGGCGGGCCCACCCCACTCTCGGCCTTACCAGGGCATTTGGGGGCAATCTGTCACATTCAACCCTCATCGTCTTCTAGATCCTTGAGTTGTAGTATTCGTTCCTATATACCTTTTTGAAATATATTTTCAATATTTGTCTGTCTTACTAACATTTTTAATACTACAAGTGTTTCGAATCCTTTTCCATCCATTAGGTGATTGATATTTCGTGGTTGGATGATGTAGTTAGAATGCCACATCTTTGTGTCAATTTCTTTATTGATTACAACTGACTATTTACTTAGAAACTTTCTTTTACCTCAGACGACCTTGTCATAGTCAGTAGTTAGGGTCTTGCGATGATATGGGTTAAAATTGTTCACATTAACGGGGGCGTATTCCTTTAGATCGAATATTTTCTTCACGAGTAGTATCTTCGATTCTTAATCTTTTCTATTTTCATTAATACTGTTCTTACTTCTGTTACTCCAGAATTTACCCTAATAATTTCATCTCACTGTGCAAATGAGATATTTCAAATCTTGGACTGATTTACATTGCATGTAACTGACTGTATTTTACTGTATTGATTTTTACTAACCCTCATAAATGGTTTGAATAATTTTTTTTGGTTAGCGTTTTTTTAGCGATTTAGTTTTCTACGGGATAGGGTCGCTAACCTCATGCCCAACCCTCCTCCTTTATCCGGGATTGGGACCGGCAATAACCCCCCGGAAGGACTCCAGGCTTAACACATTTTTCTTGTAATTAATTGAAATTAACTAAGCACTCTTTTTATGTCACGATTCCATTCGACATTGTTCAATAGTAGTTAATCATGTTTATTTTATTGCCATAGAAATAATAATTATGTAATTATACAACCTTATAAACTGAATTGTTTTGTATTTGTAGTTTTCCACACTGTCACTAAATTTGCCACTATCATGTTCAACTTTCAAAAAAGAAAATACTGTAGCATTAATACTAAAAGATACCTATTCCGATCAAAGACTGATCGAGTGTTTAATCAATATTTATTAGTTCCAATGGATACATTTCATTTTTTTCTTTCAGTACACATGTGTTCTGTTTATATACGTATATACTTTTTTGTGTATTGGAAATTGCAGATAAGTTATGATACTAGACCATACACTACCTTTTTCTTCATGTGTGTATCTGTGTATGTGTGTGTGACTTGTTTCACCGATGAATGCGTAACTGATCTTTTGTCTCTTTGTACCTCATTTTGTTGTTATCGTTGAACAGAAGGCATTTTTTTTTATTTGGCAGGATTAATAATTCGTAGTTTTTCTGTGATTGTAAAACTTTGCAATATATGCATGTGTGTGTGTGTGTATGACCAGTTGATAAGCTATTTTATCACTATCACAAGTTCTTACTACTACTTATCCACGCATGTTTATATAAGAAGCTTAGTCGATATTACCAGAGAAAGATTCACCAATCGGAATTCCAGATTTAAAATTCTCTATTCTGAGTATACTACTTTGTATATGGTCTAATGTACTAATTTTTCACAATTGACACCCTGCCGAGATAACTTAACTCCTTTTAGTTTGTAACACAGCTTTTTCTCTCCAGTAGTAGATAAGCTCTTATTATATATTTTTTACACACTCATAGGTTTATATACATAATTTATTAGACTACGATACACCTTAAGTTAAGAATCACACTTCACATACAATGAAGCCATATATGATGGAGAACGGAACAAAAGTTGAAAAATTAATTAACGTTTAACAGTTGTTAATTGATTGAGATCATAAATCGATCAATAGTATGTTACCATTGCGAACCTGGAGGCACAGGAAGGTCATTGAATGCCAGTTCAGTGGTCTAGAGGTTAAGCGTTCGTGTGCGAAATTGAGAGTTCTGAGTCGAAATTCCACGTGCGAAATCGTAGATGTGTACTGCTAAATGTCCAATACTAGGGCGGAACGGCCATCCAGTGCTTCTAGGTTCTCAATGATGGTATAACATTGATCGATTCATGATCTCAATCAATAGTCAAGAATCTCCACAACTCTATACTGATAATGCTTTTGGTTGAAAGTTTTAAATCATTAAGTCGATCATGTAATGAGGGCGAATGTAATTTCCCGTTGTTATTGGTTTAAGATTGCTTTGTATATTACAGGTTTATGAAATTTGAGTACATGGATTTTCAGTTCAATCGTTGTATGGTTGTGTTGAACTTTAACTTTTTGGATTTGTATATCCAATCTGTTACTGTATGCGTATACTAGTCTCAGACTAGTTCAACAAACTAGTTTCAATATATTTAATATGTGGCTAATAGCGGAAACGGGTTTCGTCAACTGAGTGTACTTGTATCCATGTAAGTGTTTACATTAAGACTCATACTGAACACTTTACGTTTAAAGCACAAATATATTATCTACTGAACTATCAAGTACTAACCAGTAACTTGTTCAACAACTATGAAGGTGTTATTCTGAGCCTCCAATTCCCTGTTATTATTATTTGTAACTGTAATTGAGCAGTCTATCTTGACGTATATATCCATCTTGAACAAGTTGACTGGATATTGTTATTCAATTACAAGTTTACAATAAAGTCGATTAATAGCTAAATATGAATACCAACATACATCTTTTTTATCCTTTAACTAATTTCATTGTTGATGAGAATTACCACAAAAAAAGAACTTTTTTTTCCTTCATTATCATTCACCATAATTGTTGATCTTTCTTTTTTTTTTCTTTTTCGACTTTGTTGTCATGTGGGAAATTTTCATGGTTATTACATTTTGAAAGGAGTTATTTATATCTTGATGTATATCATTATATCACAGCATGATATTATTCTAATTGTACTTGTTTTTCACATAGAAACAACCTCATGATTTTAAGTGATCTGTCGTTTTTTTTTACCCACCTTTGTTTCTATGAATGATAATGTTTTTTTTTTCAAACTGTTTACTTCATTATTACTATTATCATTCTCTTGTAAATGTTTTTTTCTTTCTATTTTAGTTGTTGATCCTCCAAGCATGACCGATTTAGATAGTCCTGGTCCTGTATTCGGTGCTTCATTAGAATCTCAATTAGAAAGTCCTGATTATCCAGTAAGTTTTTTTTTATTAGTTATCATGATTATTAAGTTTGTGCGAATGGTTGTATATAACCTGGTCGCATAAACTGTAACAGATGGTTTTCCGAAGTATAGTTACTCTTACAACCTTTCACCGAAAGGTCGGATCCAAAAGCTAGTGGAACAGCGGTAGAAGATACAATCTCATGGTGATAACCAGTGACTAAAATAGATTTATATATCAATTGTTTCTTCATTGTCTTGTATCTCATTTACTTCATTGGTTTAAAATATTGATCTCTCAACTCCTTTGGACAGATTCTTTTTATCCATTAGTTTTGCCGCAGTCCGTTATTTGTGCTTTCACTTTCCTGAAAACATAACATGTACATAAAGGCATTGAGTAGAATTTCCCTGCTAAAAGCTACAGACATATGATTCCCGGCAAGCATCCGATAAGAAGAATTGTCTTCAACAGATGAATTTTACAGAAAGTCTTTGATAATAATAAACATCATTTTCAATTCTTATTCATATGACCTTTCCATCGTTTTCTAATTCAATCACGATCCATGTGTACCTACCAGTCAATAGTATTTTCAACAAAAATCCATCAGTCGATGGGAATTTCATTAAGAACAAACAAATGTCAACAATTTCAGTATTTCAACTTTATACATAGATATGTTGCACTGTTTTTTTTAAATTAAGTCTAGCGTTTTTAAAAGATCGTTCCTTTATATCATAGTAAGGATTATCAGTCAGTAAGTCAGCTACAATGTAGGACCAGGCACATATATGCATCGGTCCAATTTGCCATACCTCATTAGCACAGAAGGACGAATTCATAGAGGCAGTTAACACAATGGTGTAATATATAAAGGAAAGATTGCATATACGGATATAGTACAAGAAGAAAGAATTAGTTCGTAGAAAGAAAGATATGAAATAATTTTAATCTCATAGTTTAAGGGAAGACAAAGAGTGTATACACCTACATCATTGTGATCGATTCTGAGCCATGTCACACAGAGTCTCCAACCATTAGTTACGATAGTCACGTGGACCCCAACCAAGTAGTCTGCATCTACCAACATGGCTCAAACTAGAAGTTAGTGAATTTTAGGACTAATGCCACGTATTATCAAGTAATGAAATGCCAAGAAAACGTAATCAACATTCTTTGTTTCTTCTTCATATATTTTTTAGTGTGTTCCAGTCCTGTTACAAGCTATTGTTATAGCCTTAGAGACACATGGACTTAATTTACCTGGTCTGTATAGAAAACCTGGTCGACATCGTACAATTGCACAATTTGTCTCTTCAATAAACCAGGTATTATTATTATTATTATGGTTATGTATTTCTGTATGCTACTTTTAAATTGGATCATTTTTCTCTTAAAGAAATGAATCTGTTATGATTCTGGTAGAGACTGGTTAGTTCGAATTTGCTGAACTAAGTTTAATTATAGGAAACATTCTATATTTCTATTTTCTGGTAGATTTTACAATATAGGGATGTTGTCTACGCTACTTTGATCAGTTAGTCTCTTAATATCATGTATGAAATGAAAGAAAATAACATCTAGGCCAATATTATTAATCAGAATATGTTGTGACTAACGAAAATTGTTATTAATTCAAATGAATATTATAGAATGTTGAACGTATGACACTGGGTAGTCAAGTTGAGTAACTTATCAGGTGACTAATTGATTCACTTAATCTCTCAATGAGATCATATTAAAGATAATGACCACTATTTGCCTAGTAGAATAAACTAATTTTTTCTTAATAGAATAACGCGCTTACTTACAAATTATTCATAGAGAAATTTAAAGACAAGCGGATTATTACAACTCTGTTGGACGGTCGCTCAGTAATATCTAGCATTAATGTTGTAAAGTTATGTAATACTACTGGTAAATAGTAATTAATATGTATGAAATGAAAGGCTTTTGCATAGTAATATCATATTAGAGTGATTTGAACTGTCACGTGTGATAATCGCTAATATCCATATTGAACCCACAAATACACTGGTACATTTGATGTTGAGGTTAGTTCACTTTCCCTCTTCAAATATTCTCATATGGTTATGTGTATATAGCCACTACCAGGGAAGTCCTACACACTGCTTTTTCGTGGCTGTAATGTTGTCTGCCTGATGGAGATGACCAGAAAAGAATGATTAACTCAATTCTAAGTCTTACCATAGGATTTGTGAGCCTACTACATGCTAGTAGAGTTGATTGATCTTATATTTTTCTCCTATAGTCTTCTGTTTCACAATTCTCTAAATATTTCAATTAATTAAACCATTGTTTAGACGATTTAGATGACTTCTAGTTATCAGACAACATTTTTACAATATATCCTAATTAATATTTCCCATCTGGATTGTTTGGTTACGGTAATAGTATGAATTATGTAGGTTTTTTTCATAACCAACCGTTAATTACTATCACATAGTGCTGAAAAGTTCAAATCTCGTTCAATCTTGGGTGTCTTCTGTTATTTGTAGACTTTATCACAAATTACATTATTTTAAGTTTATGAATAAATTTCTTCTCACTTTGTGTGACATCAGTACTTGAAGACACTAACTTCTAGTCTGAGCCATGTTGGTAGATGCAGACTACTTGGTTGGGGTCCACGTGATCATCGTAACTAATGGTTGGAAACTCTGTGTGACATGGCTCAGAATAGATCACAATGATGTAGGTGTATACACTCTTTGTCTTCCCTTAAACTATGAGATTAAAATTATTTCATATCTTTCTTTCTACGAACTAATTCCTTATACACAATCTTTCTTTTATACATTACTATCATTGAAGTGACTACTTCTATGAATCCGGTGTTCATCTTGTGCTAATGAGGCATGGCAACTTGGACCGACGGATGATCGAATACATTGTGCATAATTTATTAGAAATATTACCAATAAGGTTCTGTTGTGATTATCATCGAAACATCCTGCTTTATTAACAATGAATTCAATCCTTTATATATATATATATATATATATATATATATATATATATATATATATATATATATATATATATAATCTACCACTAGTAGCCTTATTGTTTTGCTAGTTGTTCATATATTACTTCATTATACATGTCTGTTGTTACATTAGAAAATTTCCATTTTTCATCTTTTCAATAAAGCATCCTGAAGATATTGATTTAATGTTTAGTTTGGATGCTTGGCGTGAACCTAATGCATTATGCGGTTTATTTAAACATTTTCTTCGACGATTACCTATTGGATTATTTTCTTTATGTGAGTGTGATTGTTTTAATTTATTTTTGTCGTGTAATTAGATGTTGATGTTTTCTTTTTGAGTTTTTTTTACAAATGTTCCTACCAGACAGCTTAAATGACCGAGGTCTGCTATATCCACTTTATTATAACCATACCCCCAAAACGTTCTGGCTATCTCCATGCGGTGGATCATATGTTTACGAAAAGTGAATGTGTGGTTGTTTTGTTGGCGTTTTTGGATAGGAGGCGTCCACATATGGGAGTTAGAAAGCTCTACTACTAAACTAATAATGTACATGTACTCTAGAATCCTGAGGGGTCGAATAGTGTATGACCCTATTTTTAACTCTTAGTTACCGAAGCTTTATCTCTTTACATTGTTATACTCTCTTGTAGAGGAGTGGCTATGCCTAAAAAAGCCGCTTAACTCAATTTGAGTCACCGGAATATATTCCAGCTCTCACATAAATATTATAATTATTTACTATGACGTATAGTACGTTTTGGTGCCCAGTTACCTCAGATTTTGTATGAATTAAATAAATGAAAATCTTACTAAAGCTTTCTAAGTAAATGAAATTTACTCGAGTCGTTACGTATCAACCAGTCTTTTATGCAATCCATCCTTTATCCTGAGTGTATATAACGTTGAGAGTTTACGAGTCACAAATGCATGAAATAAAACTATTAATAATAAATTAAATATATTTGAATCTAATTAATGAATTTAGAAACTGACAAGGAAGAGTATGATGGACACAATTTGTACTTCATGAGAATGATTTTAGTGGAGTTTTTGTTCTCTGAAGCAAAGCGGTCGAATCATGAAAACTGCATTAATTTTATAAATGAAATCATCAGCTGCCTTCTTTCTGAAGTTTCTACTAATGATATTTACATAGATCATGAAAGTTTCACAATGAAGTTATTCATTCCAGATCAGCACACAACTTTAACAGAAGAATAAATTGGTTTTTCTTTAATCAATAATTGAATAAACTAATTTATTACTTAGCATTTATAATTGCTCAAATTGTTTCATTTGTCCACTTATTGGTAACTTTGTAATACTCTAATGAGTGAACACTTTGTGAAGAAGACTAATTTATTTTGCCTATAATGCAAAATCATACTGTATTTGTAAAATATGGAAACAATACATTAAACACACTATTTGTATCTATCATTCTTTCAACCCTGTTGTTGTTCCGATTACTCTCTGTTTTCTTTCTTGTCCTCTTCATTTCAATCTTGTGCTGGTAAACAGTTCCACTTCTATTGCTGTTATATATACTACTTATATTTGTCCGTATAAGTAGCGCACACCACAATACAAAAAAAAAGCTTTTAATTACTTGATTATGATGGCTAACTTCAGTCGGAATACTTACTTGATAAATCTAGACTGTTTTCTTTAGTTATATGAAGTAATTTCTGTCAGTGGTTAAAGATGTTGTTTGAAAATATAATGAATAGAAGCAGTTCCGATAGTGCGAATCCATTCATACTTCATTTTCTAACTTGTGAGTTTCTACATTATTTCATACATATTAATCCTCTTATTTGACTACTATCATTGGTACTACTAAATTATTTTAACTTCTTTGTCAATTTCACCTCACTGTTTTACTATGGTTAGACCTAATTAAACTGATTCATAAGTGTACCAAGTCTTACGATGATTATGAAAGAATGAATTAATAGAACATTAGAGTGGGCATCATGAAATCCCCAAATATTTTATCATTTTGTAGCCTGGATACTGGGTACATTTTTATGGATCATTTGGTCTTTCTTCTACTTTAAGTTGGCTTAAATTGTTGCAGTTTAATATGTGACATTAGTTTTTTAAGTTGAATTATATGTAGTCTGAGCAGAGAATTTCTCGTTAGTTAAACCCAGATTAAACAGTTATGTAAACCATAAAGCATTGGACAGCTGTTTACTCCTAATAGAGAGCTCCTTAATAGTACACATCCAGGATTCTACCGTGGATCTTCCGTTTTACACGAGAATCCTTAATTTCTTGGTGACTGAGCCAGAATTTGGATCCCCTTTATTTCATCAACAGTTGTTTCGAGGTATATCTTGTGATGTTCAACGGTATAGGAGTAGGTTGGAAGAAATCTAGAGGCGGCCAGATCAAAACATGGAACAAATCCATGAAGTCACTGACAAGTGGACTGAGCTATGTCGGTAGGTGTAGACTACCTGTTGGGATCTTCGAGACGATAGCAACCGATAGTTAGAGACCTTGAATGACATAGCTCAAAACCATTTGCGATCGTGCATGTGCATCCACTCTTTGTGTTCTCCCAAATTCTAATTTTCTGAATTCTTCATGTCCCTTTATTTTTTTATCTTTCCATATTTATTCCACTGGTATATACTCCTTGAATAACATCTTCAAACCTTAATGTTTCCGACTACTGTTTATACTCTTACCACCTCTACCACTACAGAATTTGAATCAACAATTGTATCTCTGTGATAATGTGGTATTGCAACTCGAACTGATGTACGTACGTACGAAGTTCCACGTTGTTACTGTCTGACTGATTTCAATATACTGTTATTGGTTAACATATTGTATTTTATTGAAATCAACTATTATGCTCATATACACTTTTCAGATAACAATAAACAGATTTACATGTTTGTTTTTGTTTATGATTAGTTTTTAACTGTCATACAGCTTCCTAAATCCTTGTGATCTTTATCAACAACCAATTGTTATCACATGGTTCATTATGTGATTATGATGTGTAATTGTTATAACTAAAACAAACAAGATCATTTGTAACACTAATAATTCAATGTTTTTCTATATATTTTTTACTTACTATCTTTGTTAACTTTTTTTTTGCTCTTGGTAACATGAAAGTAATTCGTTTCTTTTTTTTTTCTTAGAATCAAACAGAGTTGAAAAACAACATGAATTTAGATTGATAGATGTATTAATAGAAAATATATTAAGCATAAATCAATATCATTTGAGAACAGATAGTGAGCTGGCACAAATGAAAAAACATATCTATGAGGAATATAAAGATTGAATGTATCGTTGCTTTTAAGACTAATTCCTGTTTATTTATTTGAACACATAGACGTGAATCCAATGGGGCATTGAATACATATAAGCTATACAATAACGATGAGACCAGTAGTAGATATCATTGATTTGTGTAAGGGCTGTGATACTGTTTGAGTTCTCAAATCGAAGTAGGTGATTTTCTTAGGGGGCTGCACTCCAAGCCTTCTACCTCAAGGCTTAATCCACAAGGCAGTGAAACTACGGTAGGAGATTTAGTCCCATACTAGCCAGTCACTAACAATAAGTTCAAACACCATTCGTTCCCTCTGGATCATGGAGCTCATGTGCACTATTGATTTTGAATCAGGGTTTTCTAACTCTCCTTGGTGGATCCTCCGTAATACCTATCAACTCGGCTTAATCCCCTACCGGACATTCGGTTTTAGTCCTCTCAATTTCATAAACAGCACTCGTGGTGTGAGAAGCCAGTGAATAGGACTTCCTTGACAGTATCTGTGCACACGTGTTCATGTGGAAGCATTTTTTGATGGAGAGCTGACTCTCCCCACCCTTAGCTGTACCAAGTCATTTGGGGACAAGACTAATTCTGACTCATGTTACTCGACATTTTACCAAATTTGTTTTTGATTGGGATCATGAACCAGTTGATGTTAGACCACCATGGATAGCCTGGAAGCACTGGACAACCGTTTCGCCTTATTGTGGGAGTCCTCGGCTGTGCGCATCCACTATCTCGCTCACGGGGTTCTAACCCAGGGCCTTCGGTCTCGCGCACGACCACTGAATCGGCGTCCAATGGTGTCAGATAGAGACTGATACCTACCTTAGTACAATGGAAAATGGTCGCGCAATTTCGTGGTTGAGGTTAGACACTAACACCGGCTCAACGGTCTAGAGGTTAAGCGTTCGCACGTGAAACCGAAGAAACTGGGTTAGAACCCGCGAGAGATATTTTGGATGTTCACTGCTGAGGAGTTCCGCAATAAGATGAAACGGTCGTTTATTGCTTTCAGGTTGTCCATGGTGGTCTAGTTTCAATTGACTCATGATCTCAACTATTAAAGTTATCTGATTATAGATCCATTTTTTACAGTCAAACTAACACCACGAAAGTTCCAAAATGGCCCAAATTGGCTTGAGACACTGGCTTTCACTATACATGAGTTGGCCTCATCTTTTATGCCATCACCAGCACCTACACAGCTACCTAGATAAACGAACTTCTCGATTATATCTGTCTACTCACTATCCGGAGTGTGTGCAGGTTCAGATTCCTATCAGTGTTGTAAAAGTACTTTGCACTTAAAGATGCAGTATGCATATAACATACTTACGTATAATGAGTCATGTTTGTTGATACCTTCTACTGAGTTTAGATCGTTATGATCATTAAGTGATTGAAGACTTTGTGTGAAATGTTTCAAAATCAATAAAATTGGTAGAGATACAGTCACTTTTTTTTACCTTCTTCTAAATCTTTATTCTCATTATCCTTTCAAGCATATTATTGTATTCCATCTTCTCAAACTATATTTTCAATATTCAATATATTTCTCATTATTATTGTTTTAATCAATGAACCACTTGGATACCAATCTTTGTATTGATTATCACTAACTCATTTACTTTATAACCATTTTATTAATTATCCAACAAAACATGTTTTCACATTGGTTATATTACAATCTTATTTAATTGAATTACTAATTCAAATGACATGTATTATGTCATACAATAAGATAACAATGCGGGTTAATCTGTTTTACTTTAATCATATTCGTATCATTTTAGTTAATTGATTAAATAATAATAATAATAATAATAATAATAATAATAATAATAATAATAATCTTGTATCCATGTGTACATGTATTATGTGTCTATTTACCATGTTCTCTAACATATATTGTATATTACTATTACTACTACTACTATTATTGTTTGAAGAAAATAACCATATATAGTTATTTGTTATGTACATATACATTCTACATTCTTATGTTACATAGTTAGTTAGTTAGTATACAATTAAGAAAAATAGATGAGAATGAAATTGAAAGGCTAGATGACTTCCAGAATTGATTAGTAAATTTATATTGATTGTTTTCTTCATTTCAGTCGGTTTACATTCATGTATAATTTGATGAGATCATGTGAATTAGGTAATAGTTTCATTAATCACTTCCATGAGTTTGATGAAAAAACTCTTATCCGATATGTTTTGTTAGTGTTACTACAAAATTTTTATGTGTATATGTATATATTTAAACAACTATCTTGGTTACCTCTCGACTTATCCCGTTTTCGATACATGCAAAATATTCATATTTTCCTGAAAAAGTCACCAAAGCTCTATGTGGTGCAGTTTTTGAACTCGTAGTTTTTACAATTTCGTAGGTTCAGATTCATGTATTTGCCTTTGTTTCACATTTTGAGCAACACTATTCGTTTGCATAAACCGAAGTATAGGAAGTGTATTTTCTAACTGAAATTAAGTAGCTGGAAGTTGAACGCGTTAACCATGATTACTTTTATAAGTAATGAATTTCCTTATTCTTTGTTTTTGTTCAATACAACACCTTGAATATACATCAAATTGAATCGGAATGAGCGTGTTTAATTGACTAACTGACTAGAATAATTATGGTCACAAATACACAATTATAAAATCTTTATTTTCATCAAACTAAATCATTTATAAAGACAATTGTAAAGATCTACTTTCTGTATGATTGAATATTTTGTAGAAATGAATCATATGTCAAACTACTTTATTACGGTTTCTATTATTCATCGGATGAAGTACTGTAGTGATTGTGTTATCGTAAATTTATTATTATTATTATTATGAACTACTAAGTTATTACTAAACCGTATCTCCTCAACACCAATTCATCAGAATTAGCCTGTTATTTTATGATTTAATTCTAGAACACTTTGTTTCATTTGATTGTGATTACAAACTAGTTGTCATGTGTTTTTACAATCACTTTTTCATTTGATCATCTTATGGCGAAGTATTGACTTCACAAACCGTTTAACCTTGTTAATAGTAGAAATTTAATGTATAAATTGAATTGGTTACAAAATCTATTGAAATTTGCTTAGATCTTAGGCTTGGGGAGAGCTTGAATAACCCTTTGGATGACCTTGACAGGTTCAAGATTCCAACCGATGATCCAAAAAGTAACAGATATATATGGATGATTTATGATTAATATTTATTATTACAATAAAGAATACAGTTCAGAATTAGGTTCTCGTGTTATAGAGATAAGGTTGAGATTAGAATGTAAAATGTGCGGTTATAGTTTGGATTATAATATGCAATTTACAGTTGTGATTTATTTTGGCTTATAATGAGGATTGAGTTCCACAGTTAGTCCATATATATATATATATATATATATATATATATATATATGGTCCACCAGGGTGCTTGGTACCTGTGTGGTTGCGCCACAGGATTGAGCTGCACTATTCAGATTGTAGCATTAAAGCCTATACGGTGTCTGGCTCTCCTGTTAAACGGGCTTGGGCTGTACTGTTTGGGTTGTCACGTGAAAGTCTGGACGATGTCTGGTTCTCCCGAAAACCGATGTAAAATTACCCTGGCCCACAAGGATATATTATATAACTGGGATGCGTATATAGCCTCTGCCAGGGAAGTCCTACTCACTGCCTTCACGTGGCGGGGGCGTTGTTTACGAAAATGAGAGGACGAAAAGCGAATGTCCGGCGCTTTAACCGGATTCCAAACCAATGGTGCACATGGGCTCCAGGATCCTGAAGGAACAAATGGCGTATGAACCAATCGTTGGTCACTGGCTACCATGGGATCGCATCTCCTTACGATGCTCCACTGCCTTGTGGATCAGATCTTCAGGTCGAAGGCTCGGGGTGTGACCCCCTAAGAAAACCACCTGTGTTTCGGTTTAGCCACCCAGTCAGTATCACAGCCCTCACACAAATCAAATGAGATTCGTGTGGCGCATATGTATTTGGTGCCTCCTTGTACCGATATCTATGTGTTAAAATAAATAAATAAGTAATATATATATATATATATATATATATATATATATATATATATAAACCATTAACTGCTTACTCTAAACCTAACTTTTAGACTCCATTTCCTAAATTGTAATCCCTACTTTCATTATCTAATTATGTTTTCATCAATAGAACTAATCATCTATATATTTCATAGAGAACATTTTTTTTTAGAGTTTGTGCCTCAACCTTGAGTTGTCTTATCCCTTTCGTGATTAACTCAGCTTCACCAAATTCGGGGTTTATTGTTGAATGATTTTGACTTATAAATGAATTTGTACATTTTTGGAAGATAATCGTTATCTAAAGAAAAAAAATCAATGATTCATTTAACCTGAATTAAAACCTCATTAAATTGTCCGTATGTGTTTTTCTATCAACTATTCTTTCTTTCAGCCTCTTGGGAGCCACTTTTCTGTCTTGTTCCAGAGATTGGGAATTCTTCTGATATGAAACAATTAGCCTATCTGTTACTTTCTATTCGTGTTCAATTGAAAAAAATGGCATTTGATGTAAGTTCTTCTGTGTATTATTCCTGTTATGAATTATTCTTGTGTAATCTGATTGTTAACTCGAGCATATATGCTATGGAAACGAACAATACACTTATTGTATCTACATGTCATTTACCTTCATAAAATTCTTAGTGTCTTTCTCTGAGGTAATTATTGAGAAACATAAGATCTACCATAGTGTTTCGCATATCTTCATCCTTCTTCTTCTACTCTGTCGTTTAAAAGGATGCGAGAGATGATCATCATATAATTCATACATAATATGATCGGCTATGAAAAGAGATATTATAAAGTCAAGAATAGTTGTAAACGTTTACGGATAACTATGATTATGTTAGTGATCACTGTTTTGAAGATATTATACTATTGTGACTTTTGACCTGTTTGTTATCACGTGATAAGATCGCCAATTATATGAACTTGACAGTATGCCAAACCAATGACGCGTTAACCAGTACGAGCAATCTCAAGTCAACTCTAAGTCCTTATTCGTCCTTCTCTCCTAGCCTTACCTGTTTGAGTTCAGAACACAATCTCATCTCCCACTGTATGAATTGTATATTTCGGACATACTTGGTTTATACATCAGCAACCAGACTACATCATACATCATAAAATAGAAAATAGCAATTATACAAGATTAAACCAAAAGAAGCTGTGATTGTGAGAGACCGTAACTAATAAATTCGGAATAAATCAGGTATAGTAAATCGCATAATAATAGTCGATAGGTCAAATAGAATCTTAAAATGAAAGGAATATAAATATACATATAATATAGTTACTGGATAGTCATATATGGAATAATAGTCCATAAATAATTCCTAACAGTTATCATTCATATATTCTTCATTAGGATGTATCATACATTTAGTTTTTTTTTTTTAAATATTCATAAGTTAAATACACATAGTACGGGAATTTTGTTGCTATTTCACACATTTTGTGCTGAGAATATTTTATTGTAATCGAATATATAGTAGTATTCAAAAAAGAAATGATTATGGTTCGTACTTTTTCTTTGTATTTTCTTTTAGGCTTTTGGTATTCCAACTATGAACACAATGCCTGTAGATGTACAAAATAATTCTTCTTCTCCGACTAATGGTAGCTCTATTGAATGTCAATTTAGTGGAATGAATTCCATTAGTGACCATCTATTCAAACCGTCTATATCTCCACCTATATCTCCTCAGACTACTGTTGTCCCATCGAATACATCCCAGTTACAACTCAAAGAGGATTCAAGTTTAATGAAGATGAGTAATTTTAACGAAAAGGAGTTCAACATCTCTAAACAATCATTTCGTGTTTGGCGTTGGGCTACATTATGCTTTATCATGAATCATATAACAAGAGTTGTAGCACATGAACATCATAATGCAGTAACATATCAATGTATAGCTATATGTTTCGGTCCTGTTTTCTTTGGAAATTCATCAAAACTTCCAAAATTAAATGAGGTGTGTATTTACTACTGAACTTTCTTTTTAAGTAGCTATACAAATGTTAACGATTGGAAATTTTTCTAGGCACCATAAAATATGAAGCTTATCATTCATTGTATAGGTTGAAAAATTCAATGACTCTATGTTATTGTATACAATTTTAATCAGTGTTAATAACACAAACTACATATTTCATTCACCTTAGCCATGTTAATTGAAGTGTAATTCTAATCTAACATTTACCGTTTGACTTAATCACTACACTGAATAATTACTGAGTGGGATGTGATTTATTTCAAGTATATTTAGCCATTCGACGCTGATCAGTCTGACTGACTGATCAAATTGCAGTATTTCTTCTAGTCTAAATGAATTGACATCATATATAGTACGTCAAGTTGTTATGTTGTTGAAGGTGGTAGGTCAGTAGCAATATTGTTTTACCCATATTTATCGCCACTTTTATGTCCATTTAGGTAGTGTATAACTAAGTTGTATTATTTTTGTTCAAAATAGACTTATGAAGTTTTGTTCGCTTATTGTATAATACGTTTTTGAACATTAGATCCATCATCTACTGGACATTTAAAAAGATGTCATCACTAAGTTGTACCGTATCAAAATACCGTACAACTTTCATTTTCATTCATCGGTCTAAGAAGTTATTGGCTGAGGATCTAAGCTATGTAGATAAATGCAAATTACGCGTTTTATTGTCTGTGCAATAACTGCAATTAATAGTTGGAGATATATAGATGATATGACTCAGAATCGGTCACAACGACTCTGATTTATTCCCTCTTTATCCCTCAGTCAAATGCAATATAGAGCCTGGCACGTGACCAAATCAGTCCAAGTTGTCATACTTTATTAACATGATGAGGTGAATTTGCCAGGATAAATCCTAGAGCGATAGAAGTAGTAACAGAATATGTTAGACATCTAAGATACAACTTCAAAAAATTTAATCATGAGAAATAAACATATAAACAGTTATGAGGAATTTAGAGACTTATTATCTAGAGAAAAACAAAGAGTTAATACAACTGCTACACTATAATTGATTCTGATCCCTATCATCAAAAGTCCCTAGCCATTGATTACGGTGATCACCTGACCGCAACCAGGTAGTCTACACCTACCTTCACAACTCACTTCCTTTGTTGATGTTTTTATGTTTTAGTTTTCTTCCAACCAACTATTTCTATATCAATCGTCACCTTTGGTCGAAGTAGTCATTCTACAAATCTCATGTTCCAGTATTCCTTTTCATATACGTTTTCATTGTTTTTTCGGACCATATCTTCAATATTTAAGCTTCCTCATTATCACTACTACTGTGATGTATGATACTTGTATCGACAGACAGTGCGCTGCAGACTTAGCATTTCTACAGGGAGTGTGATACAGACCGCAGTAAAGAAGGTGGCACCGCGAGCAGAACAACTACAAGCGGGACAGCTTAAAGTGGGCACGAGTGTGATATATGCTACTTATGTCTATCGACATAAATAGTATGTAACACCAATTGGAAGTGGAAAATCTGGCAATAGAAGGCTAAGGAGATCGAGTTGAAGAGAATAAAAGGGAAAATATGAAGGAATTATGAACTGGAAGGAATATACAGGATGTACGGGACAAATGATGGAAATTTACAAATGAAGTACTCAGCGTATGGTTGTCATGTCTTAACAAGATATTTTGTAATTTCGTATTTTAAAAAAAAACATTGGTTGTCCTTACTTCAATGTTCACTTACAACACTACTACTACTTCTATTATTTAAACACTTTTACTATCCATCTTGTTAATTTTATGTCATCATCTTAATGTATTTTGACAACTTTGAAATCATTATATGGCTCTACATTGATGTTAACCGATTCATACATTTTCAATCGGTTGGTTAGTCTATTTGAATATAATAATGATTATTACTATCCTATTTTTTTTAACTTGTTATAGGTTCTTGAACATTTATTTCGACATTGGAAATGGCTTATCGACAGTTTACCAATGATTACAAAGAATCCTATCACAAATATCGATTTCAGTACAATAAATGAACCAACTTTAATGGATGCTATTACTTATTTAACTACTGCTACTGATAAGTCTAAACAACAAAAGAAACCAATTCTTCAAGATCATCATAATAATAATCATATTCAAAGATTAGATTTAACACATGAACCAATAAATAATGATACATTATTGTCTTCATCTTCTATTTTTTCTTCTGCACGACGTAAATCTACTGATGTTACTCTTAGTCAACAATCTTCTATATCATCATCTGAACAAGAACAACAACTGATTGTTGATTATGACTTGACTGTTAAAAAATTTGATAATGAAGATGAATTGAATAAAGGTGAGTAACTGTTGTGTATTCATGTTTATCTGTGTGTATTTATTTATTATTTATGTACATTTATATACAAAGAGGCACCGAATATATATACACCGCATAAATCATTCGATTGCTGTGCGGGCTGGAATACTACCTGGGCCCTCAAACCGAAGCAGGTGGTTTTCTTTAGGGGCTACATCTGGAGCCTTCAACCCTAAGGTCTGATTCACAAAACAGTAGAGCAACGTAAGGAGATGCAGTCCTATGGTAGTCGGTGATCAATAATAGGTTCATACTTCATTTTTTCCTTCAGGATCCTGTAGCCCATGTACACCATTGGTTTGGAATGAGATTTTTCCAATTTACCTATGTGTTTCCTTTGATGTACCCATCAGCTCGGTTTAAGCCCTGACCGGACATTCACTTTTCGTTCTATCGATCTCGTTAAACAAAACCCGTGGTGCGAAAAGGAATTGAATTTTACTTGCCTGACAGTGGTTGTGTACGCGTGATTAGGTGAGAGTATTTGGGGAGGAAATGCGGACTCTCCCCACTCTCGACCGTACCAGGGCATTTGGGAGCGATCGGTGTATATTTGGATTGAGTAATTCTTTTTGTTGGATCATTTGACTAGGATTCAATTACAATAATGCAAATCCATTTGTCTTAGATATTGTATTCTGCAGTAGTTTTTTATACGTATATTCCCTTTATGTCTTTTTAAAAAAGCCTATTCTTGAAGTTTAGTGTTTCTTGCTTTTGTGATTGATCTTTTCAACTGTATTTCTTGGTATTGGATAGTAGTTTGGGAGTTTTGATCAATACACAGACGTTTGTATCAGTCTATATGTTAGTTATGATATACAGATTGTGTAACTGATTACCTGAGGTAGCAAATACCTCTTTTTCAATTGTTTATGTATTGTTTCATTTAGTAGGTTATCATTTATTATTGTTATAACTGGTTTGTATCGGCTGTTTCGACCTTCCCGTTGATGTTTAGGTCTTCAATTGATTATTCTCTCTATTTTCGCATATGTTCATCCTGTGTGGATTAACTTGATATTGTCATTAAGTCACAAATATGACGAAACGCATGTCCTGGATTCCACTACTAGCCACCATAATCTTTACATACATCATTTTCATAGCTTAAAGACTTTGAAAATTTTAATAACTTCAACAGAGCTATGCATGCACATTTATTTATTTATTTGAACACAGAAACATTGTTACAAGGGGGCACCAAATACATATGTGCCACACAATAACAATGAGGCCAGTAGCAGTTATCATTGATAAGTACATAATGATGTTGGTCCCATGTCTGGATTCCCATTAGTGTGATAGTTATTTGTTTTAAAAAAAAAGATTCCCCAAACAATTTGCTTTTTTCAGGTAAATTTTCATGTTGTTAGCACACTACTTGGTTTGTGATCTTTCAGTTCCCAATGATTTCCTCTTATATGGTTTACAATTTCGTACTCCTGTTCTTATTTTCACAGGTGATGTCGTGCGTGCGCACTGCTAAGGTGTCCCGTATTAGGACGATACAACTATCCAGTGCTACATAGTTTTCAATGGTTATTTAATTAAATTCACTTGCTGTTATTTTACCTGAATCTTCCCATTGTTATTTAGGATTGCAATTGATCAGTCTCTTGTTGGAATATGTGGATTCTGTGTGGATTGCCTCGATATAGCCCTCAGTCACATGCTTTTTAAGCAAAGATAAATAGTGGCTAGCATTGGAATTTAGGACGCGCGTTTCGTCCTATTTGGAACTTGTCAGCTGGATTCCTTGCATCGCAGAGTTGATGTTCACTCAGGGAAGAAATGTGCGTCTTTGATTCCAATGCTAACCACTATCCATCTTTGTTATTTAATTAAATTTAGTTTTTGACGTAAAACTAAAGAATCTTCACCAATTCTTTATATTGAAAGTGATTAGTGATTAACTTCGAGAGGTGATTTTCAAAATTTTAATGAGAAACTATGATCAATAGAGTCTAGTCATGTCATATTTAGTAGTATCCTACATGACTCGGAGATTTCATGCATAAGTAGCAAAAGACTCCTGTGTATTAGTTGGTAGAATTTGTTTTTCAATTTAACATAGGTTTCGCTCATTGACAACTCCGACATTGTTATTCGGAATACAATTACACGAGACTTATACGCGGATCGTTCACACTAGTAGCACATGTGAACAAAAAAGAAAAATAGGAAATAATGGTTGATAGTAGGAATATTAACGAGTGAAAAAGGGTTGGAATTATGATCAAGGTAATATCCACTACTGTCAAAGGTATAAGGTCGGTAGGTTTGTCAAGGTTTTCCGCTTTCACTATTATTACTTAACTTTGTCACAGACATGCTTTAAAATATAACCCTTTCATCTTCTGACTTCTCAAGAATTAATCCACTACTAAGAGATTCACTTGTTGACTTAGACCACACAGATGATGTAGTTCTACTTAGTGAAAATGCTGAGTCTTCTAACTGCCTTGAGGAACGATGTAACCGTATTTGGGATGCGTTTCTTTCCCTTTTGATGCAAGCCATTGCTTCAAGGCTGGTTTGCATCAATACTCGAACTTATGATATGGAGTGATGAAGTAGTTGGGTGTGTTGATTATTTCACCTATTTTGTCAGTCTCATCAGTAATAGTGGGTAGGTATCTGACGAAGGCTTGGTGGACTTTTACTTACTTATTTCATTTGTACCGTAGACAATATGTTCGTCTGTTAACTGACATAAGTAAACTCCACAACACATTACTCCATTTTGTTTTATGACTAAAACTTGACCTTTAAAAATAGAAGATATTTGTAAATTAATATCATTCGATCATAAGTGTCCTCAAAGCATCACTTATATATTTCGTGACCACCTAGTTAACAGTGCTTGGGTCAGATGCAAAGTAAGGATGACAAATCGATTGACAAGGTAGTGAATCTTCATCGGTTGAAATAGCTAAGATAAGTATTGTGTGTATACTCGGGTACTTCCTACATCGATGTTCGGTGGTGTAGGAGTATGTTGGAAGAAAGTTATTGAATTTATTGACTGCTGGGTTAAAATGTGTTGGTAGTTTCAGCTTACCTTGTTGAGGGTCTTAGCGGATTATTGTAGCCAATGGTTGGAGAAGTTTGGCAAGGTGGTTTGGGATCGATCATAATGGTACAGATGTAATCACTCTTTTTCTTTTATGTTTCAAACCTATCTCACATTTTTTTACTCACTAAATCCATATTTTATCGAACCATATCGCCAGTGCCGATTCTTTTCTACTGTCACTAAGACTATTACTACTCTGTCATGTTGCTAAGCTGAAGTGTTATGACAACTTCAACCGGTGCATATGAGTTTTTGTATCACTGAATAATGATTTTTTCTATGTGTTATTACAGAATGTTGTGCTTTGGATATACGTATGTTTCTTTAGTAAACTTATACACTGTACTTTATATGACTATGATTTATCGAGCATGTTTCACCGTATTGTGTTTCCCTTTTTCCTCTCTCTCTCTCTTGTTAACTAAACAGAAGTTATTGAACAAGTTCGCTCCTTGTGGTTAAAAGCTTTGGATAAGATGAATAATGAATCACATAGAAATTTACAAATGAAAGAAAAATCCCCTAAGTAAGTTATCAATTAAGAAGAGATATTTGCATATGTATGATTGTATTTGATCGCGAAAATTATGCGATTAGTTTATTTTCTAGTTAGTTGTTAAGGATACTAGACCCCTAGAAATCACTTGTTAAATATCTTATTTTGGAAATTTGATCTATTCATCTTCGCCCACTTTTACCTTCAGTTTGTATTTCTCTCACTTAGAAAGACCTTAAATGTCAATGGTTCGTTTTCTCTTTTAATACTCTTTTTTGACGTTTTTTTGTACTGTATGTATACTCTTAAGTTGTATTCCTGTTAGTTCGTGCTTCTAATTGATTGTGGAATATAGATTTCACTCTGTTGAATCTGATGTTCTCCCTCTAGTTATCAGGACTGGGGTGCAATGGAATCGTTTAGCTTGTTCCGTTGTTGTGTTGTTTACATTCATTCTATTCTCTGGTTTTTTGGGTGATATCTTAATCTCTTCAAACATGGCTGTAGTTCAGAATAATCCCTTCAGTTAATATCTGCATTAATTATTTAGATTTTTCAATATGTATTTTTCATCTTCTGTATATAGTATGCTCTTAAATCTATTTGATAAGGTGTTCAAAATAGATTTCTTAATTTTCAATGTAAATAGACACTCCAATTTCCAGTTACTATGTAATGATAATTCATTCGATAAGGATACATTACCCTACTGATTCAGATTAATTCATCTCTCTGAGTATTAACAGTAAAAAAAGTCTTTATCCTTACAATTATTAGCAGTAGGGATAATAATACTGTAATAGCATGTTAGTTTGTTAGAGATAGATGGATGACTGGAAACTCAGTTTAACCTTAGCCACGTACGAGTTAACACTCGTTACCAAGGTTTACGGTGCAATCTTGAACAGATTAATGCACTCCTAGGGATTAGAGCTTATGTTCAACCTAAGATGTTATAATCATTGAATCATTCATGTTACGAATAACTTCCTATAGAAGTGAAATAGTTACAACTACTTGAGTAATAACCAATATCATTTTGATTTAGTTCAACATCAGACAGCTTCATTCATTTCTTGTATGACACTGATATGTAACAAGTTAAATGATTTCGAATCATTTGGTTGTTCAGTAACTTCATTACTGAATATTTCTTCTTTTTTTTTCTTTATACTTTGTAAACTCTTTCAGTAATAACACCTATACTGACCAATGATCAATATATATATATATATATATATATATATATGTATAGATGATATATACATTTATTAAATACCATTAATATGTACGTACTATAATATTTTGTTTGAATTTACTAATTTAATCAAAACAGCTTATATTGAAATGGAGGAGTTTTGAGCACATATTGTGACTGTATCACTTTATTGATTGTGCACAATTAACAGAAATGATTATTTTTAAAAGAGTTTCAGCTTTGTTTAATGCTGGTTGCATTGTGACAAAACTTTTTTTTTTCTCCTTTAATCAAATTAATCAGCTATATTAATATTTTATTCTATAAAATAATCATAGTTACTAATTTCTTAAAAAGAAAATCTTGTGACCAGTATTCGATTATTTTTTATTTATTTTATTTGTTTGAACATATAAATATTGGTACAAAAGGGCATCGAATAGATATATGTACTACACATGTCACTTGATTTGTGTGTGGGTTGTGATACTGACTGGATGCCTAAACCGAAACACAGGTGGTTTTCTTAGGGGGCCACATCCTGAGCCTTCGAACTGAAGGTCTGATCCACAAGGCAATGGAGCATCGTAAGGAGATGCAGTCTCATGGTAGATGGTGACCAACGATTGGTTCATACGCCATTTGTTCCTTCAGGATACTGGAGCCCATGTGCACCATTGGTTCGGGATCCGATTAAAGCGCCGGACATTCGCTTTTCGTCCTCTCATTTTCGTAAACAACACCCGTGGTACGAGAAGGCAGTGAGTAGGACTCCTCTGGCAGAGGCTATATACGCGTGACCATGTGAGAGCATTTCGAGAGGGAGGGCGGGTCCACCCCACTCTCGGCCATACCAGGGCATTTGGGGGCACATCCGGAGCCTTTAACCTAAAGGTCTGACCTACAAGGCAGGGGAACAACGTCAGGAGATATGGGGTCCCATTGTAACCGATGACCAACAATATGTTTAAACACAATTTGTCCCTTCAAGATATTGAATGCCATGTTCACTATTGGTTTAGAATGAAGGTTTTCCGACTCCCCTAGTTGAACTCTCCGTGTCCACCAACTCGGTTAAATCGTCGGGCATTTTCTTTTAGTCCTTTCAAGCTCGTATAACACCACCCGTAGTGCGTGAAGGCAGTGAGTAGGACTTCGCTGGTAGTGGTTGTATACGCGTGGCATTTAGAGAGGGAGAGGGGACTCTCCTTACCCTCAGTCAGTCATTGGTTCAATATTTGTTTGTGTGTGTGCTAATTTTTTTTCACGATTTTCAACTGAAATCTAAATTCTCTTATTTCTCTGTAGAATTTATTAGAATAATTCAAAGTACAGTTTCCTTTCTGTTTAAAATTTTATTCAACAATTTTCACTATAATCTTGACAAGCTTAAATTGTTCTACGATTTCGTATAATTCCCTTTATTAATCTAATTAATCAGTGTATAATGGTTATTTGTGGATGTATGTATGTATGTAGGTGGTCATTTCGGTTCAGCACCAGATCTCCTTGAAACTTGAAAAACTTGCAGCATCATATTGTTATATTTGAAGCGATTACGAGTTCACTTAATCTGAGGACGGCACAAAGACTCTATGATACAATGATAGATAGGCTAGCTATTCCAACGTGTCCCAGCCCCGCTAACTAGTGAGAGAAGTCCGATTTCGAAAGGCGGAAATATATTCCACAAGCAATCAGAATCACCAGCATTAACAACAAGCACAAACCAAACGTATATATACAGCATGAAATTGTCCTTTGGAAGCGGTACAAAATAACATACTAAAAGATACAACAAACCAATAACGTTTAAGATCCTCCCAAGTGAGAAATACGACATGTCGGTAAAAATGAGCGCTTCTGGCGCTAAAACAAGAAGTTCCAATTTTTGAATAAAATTACAAAAATAAGGTATTTACTAAGTGAATTCTGGTGATCTAGCATCCGTAACACATTAATTTCAAAAAACTACTTTGAGCAGAGAGATCGTAAAATGATCATCAATAAACAATTCAGTTTTATCCTAAACTCACATTAATAATAAGTATCTTGAGAAGAGGTAATACTCCGTGTGTACTTATGTAAAAGAAAATGTTAATCCATTAAAGGTAAAAACGTTGGTCGTTTTTGTCCGTCAACTATGAAGTTTGTCAGTACCTGCGAAGTATACAATATAAACATATAGATAATATAGTATGATTCAAACCAACATCATTCAGCTTTACAGTCGAAGACGTCATCATTGAGCTATTTGGGTTTCGATTAACCTACTTTAAGACTGGTCCCCAAATACCCTGGTACGGCCGAGAGTAAGGAAAGTCCGCTCTCACATGGCCACGCGTATATAGCCTCTGCCAGGGAAGTCCTACTTACTGCCTTCTCACAAAAGAGTGTTATCTACGAAATTGAGTGGACGAAAATCGAATATCCGACAGAGGCTTTGATTGGATTAGTGGACACGGAGAGTTTACCTAACTGAGTCGGGAAACCCTCATTCCAAACCAATGGTACACATGGGCTTCAGTATCCTGAGGGGACAAATGGCATATGAACTAATCGTTGGTGACCGGCTACCGTGGGACTGCATCTCCTTACGATGCTTCACTTCCTTGTGGATTAGACCTTTAGGTCGAAGGCTCCGGGTGTGACCCCCTAAAAAACTGCCTGCTTCGGTTTGGGTACCCGGGCAATATCATAGCCCTCACACAATTAAATGTAATGACAATGATTATTGGATATACTGCTCTCTTTTTTATTACAATTCAAACTATAGGACTGATTTTTTTTTTATTTGATTGATCTTCGATTAGGAAATAACATAATGATTGTCTAGTCCTTTGATACTGATTGAATATCACCAATCAAGCTGGTTAATACAAGTTGGAATCCTATAAGGAACATAAGTTTTGTTTAAATTTCACGTACTTCTTAGTGATGTGAATATTAACTAGCACATAACCTAAATCAAGATGAGTTGAGAACTTGATCAATAGAATTCTATTAGCTGTGAAGTACTTTGTAAACATGACATTTAGCCATTACTATTTAGTGTTGAATCAATCATTTATGATTATTTTAACTTTTAAACACTGATATATATATATATATATATATATATATATATATATATATATATATATATATATGGAGATATTTGTTTATTTATTCGTTTTTTTTTAATTTGTATGTTGAGTGGCGCCAAGGTGACCTTGAGAGTGTCGATCTAATAACTAGTACCAAATGGGGGTTATAAACCAGTGTGAGGAATTCGAATTATGATTTACTGTTGATGGTCAGGGATTAGGAAATCGATTTAGGGTTTTTCATCATGAACTTGACATTAGCCAACATGCCAAAACGTCATTTAGCTAAATGAATGAATGAATTTGACGCCCAAATCCACGACCTGTTATCTTATATCTGATTGGTTGATCTATAAATTATAGTGTCGTGCGAAATGGCTTCACTATTGTCTGTGTGTGTGTATTTTTCTTTATTGTTCTTCTCATTTGTATTGCACAGATTTGTTTATATTGAATACTCATACACATACTACTTAATAATTTGATTGGTTGGAATTTTTTGGTAAAGGATCATTTTGAAATTTATGAACAAATGTCTTTTTATGTCTATCTATTGGATTAGTTATTTACTTTGTTATGTTTTCTTTCTTTCTTTCTTAAAACAAATTATTTCAGTCATAAGAAAACAATAAATCATTCTAATAATACCAATGTTACACTCCATCGTACAGCATCAGCGATTCCAAAAAAATCAACTGAACGTAATAGACAAAAAGGTGTTAGACGATTAACTGTTGGTGTTGCCAATTCTTTGCCTCATTCATCATCAACTTTAGATTATTATTGCATTTCACCACCATCATCACAAATTTTACATACAAAAAATAAAGAGGAAGATATATTATTAACACAATTAAATAATGTTAAAAATATATCTAACTTGTCATCATTATCATCATCACCACCACCACCACCATCATCGTCATTATCAACTTCCCCTCCTCCTCCTCCTCCTCATCCTCCTACTACTAGTCGGTGTGATTTAATGATTGTTCGACGACCTGTCATTCCTGTGACAACTTCACATACAACTACAACTATTTCATAGAAAGAAATTCGTAAATAGTGTTAATCTGACTGATTGACTTCCTTGCAATCGCTATTTGTTGCTTTGCGTGTGTGTGTGTGTATGCTTTGTCATCCCGTTTTTTTTCGTTCTGTTTTTTTTCCTGAATGTTTATTTCAGAGTCACATTCAGCTTGATTTTGTATTTTTTTTTGTAATACGTTTAAGCCAAATATTATTATTGTTATTATCATCATCAGTTAAACCCCCCTCCAATACATCGTTCCACATACATTTCTCTTCTTTCCCCCCTCCACATAATTTGTAAGGTGTTCAAAAGAAAAGAACAATACCCGGTTGCGTGTTTACGGTGTACATCTTGGTACTTTTTTCTGTGTATAAAGTTTTTATTCTTTCAAATTTTTATCCATTTGATCATCTTGTGTATTCAATATTCATTTTTATGTTTACTAATACACAATTGTATTATCTGAACAAACTGTTATTGTTGCTTTGAATAAAATCAATTTTATCTCTCTCCCTCTATCATTCTGGTCATTGTTGTTGTTGTTGTTGTTGTTAAGGGGGATAAGATTATCTTCACAATGATTTATTATTATTATTATTCAACTAATAAGTGTATGGAGTTTTTTTTCGTCCGGTTTCATCCATAAATTAACACTTTGAATCATTCAAGTCATTTTAGAAAAAGAAGAAGAAGAAGAGGAAAAAGAGAAAACTACACTGATTAATCAAAATTGTTTTTGTTTGATAATTTCTTTTTCTTTTTTTTTTTCGTTTTCATTAAATACGCACAAATATGTAATTCAGTCAAGAAATTTCTCCTTTGAACTTAAATTCCAATTGACTTGTTCCCTGTCTCAATTAGCGATTGTTACTGTTGTTGTTGTTGTTGTTGTTGTTGTTCTCGTTCTTGTTACTGTTCTTTTTCTTGTTGTCTACCTCGAATTATTTTCAATTCTCCTATTATTATTATTATTATTATTATTATTATTATTATTATTATTATTATTATTATTATCAGTTTGTAAAAATGGGAACATAAACTTATCCATGGGTAAAAATAAAAAAAACTTTTTCTTCAGTATTCGTATGTTTTATTTGTATATATGAAGAGATTCTTGTGCTGAAAAACGACAGTTTGATAAAAGGTGAATGCCATTGTACTTGATTCTCTGAGTCGTATTTCCAATTGCTCATTGTGCAGATTCCATTATAAGCAAAGATGGATAGTGACTAGCAGTGGAATCCAGAACGCGCGTTTCATCCTATTTTGGACTCGTCAGCTGGATGTACCTGCATCTTAAACTTGTTGATGTTCACTCTGGGACTCGAACCCAGTACCATCCCCTTCAAATGCCATCGCGTTATCCACTTAGCTACTGAGTCCTGAATTCCACTGCTAACCACTATCCGTCTTTGCTTATAATGCTTGTGAATTAAGGCCAATACACACAGTATGCACATATGGCAATAAGAGACTGCTCAATTTCAGTCCTGAATATCAGTGGATCCCAACCAGATATCATGAACCTACCAGAATAGTTAACAACCCAATGAACTAATGTCGTGTGTTTCTTTGTCGATCTCTAGTTTTCCCCTCGACTTTGTATTTACTTACTTATTTAAACAAAAATATCGGTACGAAGAAGTAAAAAAACATATTTACACCACAACTGAGGAAATGTGACCGTAAAGAGATAACTGAACATGAGTATGATAAACTGAATTGAAATTAATGAATGAGAATAAAAAAAAATAATGGGAAGGTAGTTTAGTCAGGGAAAATACAACTGGAGAGGATTCTTGAAGTTAAAGAAGTTCCTCTCACTTGTATGAAGAAAGTAGAAGTAAGTTTTAGCAGGATCGTCACTGACTTCTATTCTGAGCCATTACTGATAACGTCTCTAGACACTGTGTTGCACCATCTCTAGGACTCCAGGAAGTTGTGAAAGACTGAATCTCCACGACACTAACATGGTGTTGCAACTAGATGTCAACAGTCATTCAGGGCAAACGATGATCAAACACAGAAAGTCGCTTAACATCGTCAAATAGGAGAGGATAGGTTTCATAACTATAGAGGGGGACTGCCCTGACTGATGGATTATGGATCTGACCTTTTACAAAGAGATGGCCCAGATTAGCATATGCCACTACGATTTTCATCATACATGAATCAATCTCATCAGCATGGACTTCTCGACCACTTTATCCGCTCACTACCCAGAGTGAGTACAGGTTCGTACCAGTCTTGTAAAAGTACTTTAACCTAAAAGGGGCACACCCTTTTTTGACAGATAATTCCACTTAAATGTCCTTTTCAATGAATTGAAGCCAGCTCGGACATCAAGAAACAATGATTGCTGAATTGCACATAAGTGTGGCAGTGTTCTGACATTTGGTGGAAGTGGAGATACCATAAATGCATCCTCGAAAATCTGCCTGCTCCTCTTGAGTCGAACTCCCCCGGGTTTGTGTACAATCTGCGAAGTACAACGTAACCTATTAATTTGTTTGTAAAAAGAACTAAAATTATCCCGTAATAGTTGTTACATAGGGGATATAAACCCTTTTAAAAGATAGTAATGGCCATCACCTCATCCTAGTATTTTTAAACATTCTCTGATTAGTAAACGTTTGCAAGCATCTCAGTTAGTCCCGTTATCCGTAAAACGGTTATTTGGTAAATCATCACGACCTATGAATTTATGTAGTCCTATGAGTTCGAGTTCCTTGTGCCAAATCCAAAGCAGGAGCTTTTCTTAGTAGACCACTCTCCAAGCCTTTGGTCTATCCCAACAATCGAGATTAGGTTCATACGTTATTCGTTCCCTCAGGATGCTGAAGTCTATGTTCACCATGGGTCCGATTTTCTCAGATAGGTCTACCGTACCCTGATCTAGATGTTAACTTTTCGTCTTAGTTGCCTAAACAACACTCTTGCCACGAAAAAAGACTGTTGGACTTCTCTGGCAGTGGCTATGTGCACGTAGCTGTACGATATCATTTTAGTGAGAGAGTGGACCTTACCCTCTTTCTTAACCAGCCCATTTCTGCACCAACATATCTTGTTTAGGCCGAATGTATGTATATGTAGCACATCTCCTTGCCACCTCTATCGATGAAGATTTGTGATCCTATCAGCAAATTAACCATGTGTCTGTCTATGAGGAAAAAAAGTATCCACGAGATGGTGTTATAAATCCGTGTTTGATTCGCAACTGTTATGCAGTCGGTAAATATCTGGTAACATACTTTTAACTTTTAGGTATTATCACACTGTATGTTACTATACCATGTACACTCATTTTGTCGTTTGTTTATCTACTATCAGCATAATTCATCATAAATAGTGTTGGATCTAGATTAACCTCAAAACAAGGAATTCATAAGATAATGTGTCTAGGGAGAGTAGTACATACTAATTTCTGCTCTAGTATAAAGCTAGAAATATAGTTTCGTTCTAAAACAGGAAACTTAACAAGAGTAGTGGCAATAATAGTGAGTGTATGATAGCTATTGGTCCAAAATGATTTGAATAAAGCTTTCATACTTCTCAGCAACTTATTCACTTTGTGGCGTCTATTGGCAATAAGGGCTGATTGAAATCAAATTGTTCCCTTGTCCCTGCAATGAACAACAGGTTGTGTCTTCAGCTCAATAAATTTTTTTATACTTCAAAATAACCCTGGATTTACAATCGATACTAGTTAAGGATGCCACATGTAATGCCACACGTAATACTTTTATAACCAAAGTATACCAACCCAGTCAAATCAGAACTCAGAAAAAAAGGGGTTCGAAGATACATTTGGAAAGCTATCGATATGTTGAGAAGCGTTTGGTCTAATCTGGCTAGCAGTTGCAAGCGATGCTCAGCACGGAGCACCCGCTCGTGATCCGGCACGAATAAGTGACCGAGAACATTCAGCTAGGTGTGCCCAGTAAAACTAATGAGGTCAGCATCAACTTCGAAGACATACAGAACTATTTATTTTAGGGTTTTATTCACTGCTACAAGTGGATGATGTAGAGGTTAATTGAGTAACGTTGGTCAACATCTCTGAAAAGTACTCTGGTATTTAAATTGATAGTTTAGCATTACTTAAATCCCTAAAATAAATTGCTCTGTAAGTTTTCAACATTGGATGCTGACCACAGTTTTAGTGGACTCATGTAGCTGAAGGCGCTCGGTCAAGCATCCGCACCAGATCACGTGTGGGAACGCCGTTCTCAACATCTACTGCAATCGCTAGCCAGATTAGTTCAAACGATCGTCGATATATTGATAGCTTATCAAATATATATTCGATCTCCTCGCTTCTGTCTTTTGATTTCACTTGGTGGGTACGCTTCATATTAGAAGGTGTTACTGGTTATAGCGTTGTCAAACTCCGAATACCTGTGGCATCTTCATTGGTGAGCCCGACGTGATCTGGTACACCAAATTGCAAACTGTGAGTGTTCCTTTTCGTGATTTTATATATCATTGTCATATTTTAATTCTTTTATACTTTGTGATATTTTTTGCCTATGTTTTTGTATATATATTTCCCACTCGTTCATTTTTCGTACTTGATATATTAATATGACTGAACAGACACCTAGGGTATTTAAGTTAAAGACTGTGTCCCCATCTTCCTTCCAACTTATGCCTTTCTGGCGAGATAACATGGAAGCCTGATTTCGCTACGCAGAAGCCGACTTCTACGAGCATGGTGTGAACAACACACGTGCACAATTCCTCGCAGTAGTCAAGGCACTACCGCGCGAATTCAACAGGTACGTAAAATCTAGTGTGTTTACTAGTGATGTTTCTGAACCCTAAGAAACTCTCAAATGGTCCATCCTTAAACGAGGAAATCTAACCGATCAACAAATGTTAGATCAACTCCTTAATAACATCGACCTGCAACACGGTTCTGCTACAGAGATGTTGCAAAGAATGAGAGAAGTTATCGACCGAAGAACCTTCGACGAGGGCCTGTTCAAACAGCTTTTCTTATCAAAACTTCCCCCAGCAGGTGCAGGCTGTGCTGCTCTCGTTTCAAAACAACGCCGTAGACGAGCTGGCTGCATCTGCCAACAGCATCCGCGAAATTACTAAATCTAACGCCGAGGTTTTTTCGGTCAAAGAAAAACCTCAAACGGTTCAGAATGACATAACAGAGTTATGTCATGCACTTACGCGTTATCCCAAACTTCGTAACCACCGTAGACGGTCACACACCCTGAGAAGAAACACATCACGCAGGCGATCTATTTCCAGACCTCGAAAGACGGATAAACCCGACTGGTGCTGGTATCATAACCAGTATAGAAGGTCCTCCAGAAATTGCAGAAAACCCTGCAATTTTCCCAGCTCAAAATCGGTTGACGCGAAGAATGTTTCGGGAAACGTCCAAGCCGGCACGGGTTAACGGCAACCGTAGCCGGCGAACTTGGCCGTCTTTTATATGTGTCAGTGATGTGATAACGAGATTTCGCTACCTCGTCGATACTGGCGCAGAAGTTAGCATTCTCCTAGCGAATTCCAACGACCGGCTTCACGAATCTGTTTTAAATCTACAGGTGGCGAACAGAAAGCCTATCGCTACATATGGCAAAAGGTACGTTTATCTTAACGTGGGTTTACGCAAACCCATTCACTGGATCTTTGTTGCTGTGGATGTTTCTATGCCAATCACTGGTATGGACCTTCTACAGCACCACAACTTAATTATCGATACGCACAAAAGAAGGCTAGTAGACGGAAATACTAATATATCTGTTTGCTTAACTTCCTTTTCTGGTTGCTGATTATCTCCTGTCGCTATTAAGCACACTAAAGACTACTTCTATCAACCACTACTTGATAAGTATTCTGACATTTACCAACCACAACCGAAATTGCCGTGTGCAACCAGCAACGTTACACATCACATCACGACTACAGGACCACCTGCATTCTCTAAAGCACACCGACTGGCCCCCGAAAAGTTAAGG